AGAGACCTGTAAGGAGAATTCAACATGCCTGGTTTTTAAGAAATTGAATGGATGAAGCTTGAGAGGTAGTAAAAGGGATAAGGTGCTTGTCGTCTTGCATTCCATTGACCCCACCTCCACTCCCTGCACTGCAAATGTTTCCCAAGAACTGCCCAGGTAAATTTTGAACACGAATCCAGTGCTCCCTGAGCACTGTCAGATATGATTTGGACCTTTCTCCACTCCCCTTCTCCCAAAAACAGAAAACTAAAGGATGAAGTAATCAATAATGTCAAAATGCAGCAGGTATTTTATGATTTAGGGGAAAATGGTCATTCAATTTGGCAATAAGAACGTTAGGTAAAGCAATAATAAGTGAATTACTCAGTTTCCCTGATCTCTCTGAGGTGTATTTGAGGCACATGTGTTATCATTAAAGTTTCTTGTCTTATATTTATTTTCTCATGTTAAAAAAAAGAATGAGAAAAATAGGAATCCCAAGAAGGCAGAATTGGAAACTGATTGCACAATTGATTTAGACACAAATGAGAAACTAAAAAGTGAAGTCACGGCCAGAGAGATAGTACGGTGGGTAGGACCCTTGCCTTGTAAGCAGCTGACCCAGGTTCAATCCCTGGCACTAGATATGGCCCTCTAAGTACCTTCAGAAGTAATTGCTGAGAAGAGAGACAAGAGTAATCTCTGAATACCAGCAAGTATGCCTCTCACCACAAACCAGAAAAAAAAAGACTCAATAAAAATAAAGTCAGTTACTGTATATATCTTTCTTATCAGTAAAATGTAGTAAAGAAGGTGAAGAAAGATCTTGATCACTTGATCACTTGAATTCCCGTTAATCGTCGATTTGCTCGAGCAGGCGCCAGTAACATCTCCATTTGTCCCTGTCACGTGCTAGTGTAGCCCAATGATGTCTGTTCACGCTAAGAACATGAAGAGCCTCAAACCGATCGTTCATGATCTTGATGAAGAAGTCTGACCATCTGGTAGGTGGGCGGCCACGTGGTCTTTTGACATCCCGTGGAATCCAGTCGTTAACAGCTCTTGTCCGACTGGTAACAGCTCTAGTAAGTAAGAAAGATCTTAGCAGGCATAATCACCAGCATCCATCTTTCTCCCTTCCTTCCTTCCTTCCTTCCTTCCTTCCTTCCTTCCTTCCTTCCTTCCTTCCTTCCTTCCTGTTTTTTGGGTCACACCTGACAATGCACAGGGTTACTGCTGGCTCATGCACTCAGGAATTACTCCTGGAGGTGCTCAAGGGACCATATGGAATGCTGGGAATCGAACCCGGGTTGGCAGTGTGCAAGGCAAACACCCTATCTGCTGTGCTATCACTCCAGCCCCGATCACCAATATCTTGAAAGAAAGATATAGCAATACTCTAGACATGTCATCCAGAAAACTGGCTCAAACCAGATGTTAGCATCAGATCTTTATGCTCTGTCTTATAATGTATTTCTTTACCATGTGTCTTAGTGTTTTTTTTCCTTGATCAAAGTTCTTTACTTTTTTTCTTCTCCAGGCTGTTCAGTGCCAGAAAATGTTTGGGTATCCAGGAGCTTCTCACAGAAATCCCCATGTCCCATTTTGAGAAACTGACTTCAAGCCTTTCCTGCTTTGGTCATTAAAAAAATAATAATAGTTGTTATTTGCACAGTAATCAGAATTCCATAGAAAAATGCCTGAACATTAGATCTAAGTCTTGTTATTTTGAGACTCATTAGGATTAGAATAACAAGATTGTGACTTTGTTCATCTTTAAAAACTTAATGTTGTTTAGCAAAGGTATAATAGATGGGGTGCTGAAATTCTGAAAAATCAGAGGTTGAACTATGTGCCTTGTGGGTGCTCCTGCAATAGCTGCAATAGTTATTGAATGACTAATCAGTATTTTATACGCCCCAACATAGGTGTGATAATTACCAGAGTAGGCAGAGTTAACAAAATAAATTCACAAAAGGAATCAATGAAACAACTCTCAGCAAACATCAGTGATGTTTACATATATCATATGCACTATATCATATACATTTTAAAATTCCTTAAATTTTAGCAATTCCACCTCTAGCATAATACCAATAAAACCACAAACCTTTATCTTGAAGTGATATCTGTATGCCTTTGTTCATTGTAGCATTATTCACCATTGCCGAAGTATGGAAACTACCCAATGTCCATTGACAGCAACTGGGTAAAGGATATGTGACATACATATAAAATGTAATACTAGTCTGCTATGAGAAAGAAAGGAATCCTGCCACTTGCTATAGCATGGATGACTTTGAGGGCATTAGTTGGAAAAATAAACCAGACATAGATAAATATTGCATGGAATCACATAATAAATTAATTAGAAAAAATCTTGAACTCAGAGAAATTAACAGTGTACAAGTGGTTGCCAGAGGCTAGGGTGTGGAAGTAGATAGAAGAACTTGGTAAAGGGATATAAAGGTTTACTTATAGTATGAGTAAGGTCTGAGGTTTTAAGATATAAACATGGTAGGCTGGAGAGCTAGTACAATGGGTAGGGTGCTTGCCTTGCACGTAGCCAACCTGGGTTCAATTTCTGGCATCCCATATGGTCCCCTCAGCACTGTAAGGAGTAAGTTTTGAGTGAGCAGGCTAAGCAGGGTCCATATAAAGGTATAATAAAAACCCACTTGCTATGAGAAGAGAGAGATGGTATTAATTTGTATGTGTACATCTTGTAATTATAATCAGAACTTCTCAGGTTCCTGGGGATCTCAGATGGGTCAATAACTTATATGTCAGTCCCCTTGGCAGTGATGGATAAGACATAAGCCTATATGTTAAAGGAATAAATATGTTAATTTGAGTCTCCCCTTAAGATATTGTGTGTTTTTGGTCTACATATGGAGTAAACCCTGAACATCACTGTGCGGGGCCTCCCCAAAACAAACAAAAAATATATAAACATGGCAATTGTTGTTGATACCATCATATTATATAAATGCAATTCGTTGAGAGAGTAGAACTTAAAATTATCACTGAGGTGGAAAAGGTAAATATGTAAAAACATGGGTGTATTAACACATTGAGGGGGATGCATTGACAATGTGTTGTATCACAAATCCAGTGGGCCCAGTAACATCTCCATTGGAGACTTTGTTGTTACTGTGTATCACAAATTGCCAAGATAAGTTGTTTAAAAACCTTACAATTTTGTGTTTTTACCTCAATAAAATTGAAAAAAATACAAAGCAATAACAAATTTACCTTATAGAATAATTGTTTCTTATGATAAATTTACTAGAAATTTGTTTTGGACAAGACTTTAGATCTGATGCAATGGAGTTTCATCCCTGGAACACTGAGTTTCTTAAGCTCTTCTCAGTTACAGGCTATTGCATCTGGGTGAAATCCAGAATGATGATTCATGGTCAGATTCCTTCCCTCTGCAATTGTAGGCTTTATTCTTTTGAGTTTCTCCCTTTCCTCATCTTTCTTTATTTTTATTTTCAGTAATATATTTTATTCATTTTATTCTAGTGTTTGACTTTGGGGCCACATCTAAGCAGTGCTTCGAGGGGCAAGCTTCTGACTCTATACTCAGAGTTGCTCTCCTCTTTCTGAATGCAAATATGCTCCAAGCATACTTTGAGAGTTCCCCCATTTTTGAGTGCCCAACCTTCAGCTATTAGTAATGTGGCCATCAAATATTCTTATTCATTTTACAAACATACATGAAGAGAAGTTCCTTGTTATGATTTTTGGGACCCACAGGTCACTGTCACTGTCCTCCCATTGTTCTTCAATTTGCTCCTGAGGGGTAAAGGAATCAAACTCCGGTAGGCCATGCTGGCCATGTGCAAGGCAAACACCCTATCTCTGTGCTATCGCTCCAGCCACAGGTATGTTAGAGATATGTTCCCTACTTAGGAGTTAAAAGAGAATTTGTTTAATGGTAGAAATAAGAAGTGGAAAATGCCATAACAGATTCTGTATTGTTTTATGGACTCTCTTCATGTTTAGGCCTTTATACATCATTTTATGTCTGAAGTCAAGCTCAGCCTGGCATGAAATTTTGTTACTGAACTGAAATTCACATAGAGACTGGAAGAGGTTGAGGAGAAAACCAGGACCACCACATAGAAAAGGGAGCATGTGGGTCTGCATTCAGCCCTAGCAGGCTAAGCAGGGTCCATATAAAGGTATAATAAAAGCCCACTTGCTATGAGAAGAGAGAGATGGTATTAATTTGTTTGTGGACATCTTGTAATTATAATCAGAACTTCTCAGGTTCCTGGGGATCTCAGATGGGTCAATAACTTATATGTCAGTCCCCTTGGCAGTGGATGGATAAGACAGAAGCCTATATATTAAAGGAAGAAATATGTTAATTTGAGTCTCCCCTTAAGATATTGTGTGTTTTCGATTTACATATGAATGCTCTACACCTGTTTTGTCTCAGCTAGATAATAGAAGTCACACCTATTTAGGGCCTACCATAACAAAAGCTATTTCTAGTGGCTTTAAAGATTAAACTATAAGGGGAGAAAAGGTACTTGCAAAATTAGATCTTAATTGTGCAAGATGCTGACAACTGTTCCAGTTCCAACTTGAAGATTTCTCCATAAACAAACAAGCAGACGGGCTAGTCCCACGGTGGGAGTCAAACCAGGCTCTATGCGAACCTGCTCCTGTCTGGGGCTTCATCCTTTGGGTTCCCTCCACCAGCGCGGCCCAATACAACACCCACTTGCCCCCCCTTTCACCAGGTCCGAAGGCACATTCGTAAAACGCATACACTAGGTTTCAATGCTCATAAGAAAAACAAAAAAAAACTTGTAAAAATTAATTTTTGAATACAGTTTAAAACAATGTGCCTATATTGAGCTAAATAAGATATTAAGACGAATCCCTCCCTTTCTCTCCCCCATTTTTTTTTTCTTTTGCTGTGACTCCCACAAGATCAACGTGACACGCATTCCTAGTCCAGATGATCGCCACGATCCCTTTCAGCTTTAAGACTCGGCCAGGGGCACCGTGGACACGTAATTTCACAGGCCCTGATTTCCTTGCATTGCGAACCCGAAGGATTGGCCCGCAGAGAGCGCGCTGGCGCGGAGCAGGCAGGAAGATACAAACCGACCCCTCCCGCTTTTCGCCAGCGCCCCAGCGGCTGGGGAGGCCCCCGACTCCCCGCAACGGGGACTCGGCGGGTGGAGACGAGTCTGCAGGCCCCCGGGCGTCCGGGCGCCGAGGGCGGGTGCACGGCCGGGCGGAGCCGAGCGGGGAAAGGGCGGGTGCGTCAGTTTCACGCGCGGGGAAGGAAGCCGGCCGGAGGCCTCCGGGACAGCGGGCGCGGGCGCCCGGGCACGTCCGCAGGCTCGGCCGGGAGGTGGCAGACGCTGAGAGGCGGGAGAGCCGAGGGCGGGCCTGGGAGGCGGCCCGGAGGTGGAGCCGTCGGGGGCCGGCCCGCGCGGGCTTCTTCTGCGGACGCACGGCCTGCGCCCTGCAGCTGGGGACTTGCCGGCGCCGGCTGAGCTGCGGCCAGAGCGGCTATGGGCCGTGGCTGGGGCTTCCTGATCGGCCTTCTGGGCGCCGGGTGGCTGCTGGCCACCGGCTACAGCGGGCAGCAGCCCCCGGAGACGGCGGCGCAGAGGTGCTTCTGCCAGGTGAGAGGTGTGCGCGGGTTTGGTGCTCGGAGCCTTCGGCAGCGCGCTCAGCTCCGCGCGCCCGGACCGGCGAAAGGCTGGGGAAGAGCCGGGGCACGACTGGGGGTGTGTCTTTGCAGCTTCCACTCGGCGCCTAGACTGAGCCCCCCCGAGCTTCTGCTCTCTCGGCCCGGCCGGCCGAGGCTGCTGCTGCCGGTCCGTGTCTGAGTGGATGTCGGGGTGGCCGGGTTTCCCGGCTGCAGCCCCGATCTCGGTACGCCCGCCCGCGCTTCCGATCAGGCATTGGCGAGAGGTGTGGGCGCACGCTGTTTCCCACCCGGAGGGTTTCTGCAGAGAGTGCGCTGGGTGCTCGTGTGCCGGAGGCTCCGTTCGCAGAGCCTGGGGCTTTTCAACTTGACCTGGGGCTGTGTAACCCCGGTAACCTGTGCCGGGTGCCTTCGCCTGCCCTTCTGGCCCCAGTTGAGCGAGCTTTAGGATGGAGAAGGACTTTTCTGTGGCTAATCCCAACTACCTGGTGGCTTTGAGGCCCTTTTCCTTGAATGTAAGGAGATTCTCTTACCGTATCATCCATAGAGTTGATTGGAATTGGGAAGATGACCCTTCACCCCCATCCCACCCCCCAAAATAAAGGAAAGAAAGAAGACAGAAAGTTTGATCACAAGCTTGTAATCATTTCTTGTTAGAAGTGGGTTTCTAGAACACCCCCTCCCCCAGAAGAATCTTCAGTATTGACTACTTTAATATCTTCCTCATAGTCACCTGTTGGCTTCTGTTGACAAAAGATAACATTTTACACAAAGTTAAGGGGCGGGCATAAATGGTTTCTTTTAACTGATTGTATTTAAGGATCAGAAATAACGGTTTTCTTTGGGGGAACCACACCCAGCTGTGCCCAGGACTTACTCCTGGTTCTATACTCTGTACTCAGGGAATCACTGCTTGTGGGCTCGGGAGACCATATGGTTGCCAGGGACCGAACCCAGGTGGACCACAGTCTAGGCAAGGGCCCACCCCCCTGTACTATCACTGTGGCACAGAAATAATGTTTTGTGTTTTATATATTCTATTTTAAAGAGAAAAGAGCACCTTAAATATGAGAAAAAGAGATATCTTTCAGTGTTGGAAATTCTAGGATTTCATAGTTTTGCTTAGTGATTTGGGATTGAGTCGAGTGTGATAGAAGACAGTATAAGAGAAGTTTAAAGAAAATTTATGTTCCTTTATGTTCAGTCATCAGTCATCACTTAAACTGTGTCTAGATAGAAATATTTTCCTAATACAAAAATCATTTAGATCCCCTTTATCTTTTACAGTAAGAAGGACTATACTAATATTCTGAGTGAGCCAGAAAAAAAAAAGATCAAATTAAGTGACTAAAGATAATGTCCTAGAAGCGGAGACTGTTGATTTCAGTATAATAAGTGAAGCAATAGTGTTCTTTAGTTTAGAAGGTAAGGGGATAAGAGAGGAGAGGACACAGTGATAAATAGGCATGAAGAGAAAAATGGAGACAGGTATTTGGATATGCACACAAACAGCACGAGAAAGAGAAAAGAAAAAATCAGAAGGAAAGGATAAGGGGAGATAAATTGTGCAAATTATTAATTCAGCAAACATCAGCACAGTGTACACAGATCTGAGTATTTGGAATACAGAAATAATTATGGCGCAATCTTTTTAGTTTATTGAATGGTGAATATTCTGTCGGGGAGATGTGGTGATTCAAGGCATTAAAAAGAAAAACTAGTTTGTAAATGTTGGCAGAGATATAAACTTTTAGTTAATCTTATTGATTACAGGACACTTGAATATTTTTCTGGAATTGATTTTTCAGTTGGGTTGAGAATTTCAAGTGAATCATAAAACTAAGTTACCATATGCCTGATAGATGTCCCAAAAGCATTTTCACATGTGCATTTACTTCATAACAGTGCTTCACTGTTGCTGAAAATACTACCAGGCCAATGAAATAGGAATAGTTCATATAATCCAAAATGGCTACTTAAAAAAAAATTTGGGGGGCTGGAGAAAAGATAGTACAGTGGGTAGGGCACTTGCCTTGCATGCCTCCCAACTATGCTTGATCACTGGCACCTCATTTTGTACACCGAGTCCCCACCAGGAGTGATTCCTGAATGCAGAGCCAGGAGTAAACCCTGAGCACCTCTGGGTATGGCCACAAAGCAAAAGTAAAACACTACCCAAAAGCCCCCAAACCAAAAAAGAAATGGATTAATTTTTTAAAATTTTGGAGTACATTATATATATATGTATATTTTAGCAGATCCACCTGTCTCATGTCTTGTTTGTGTTGGTCAGAATGGCTGTACCATGGAAGATATATGTGATAACATATTGGGACATGGGTGGGAATAAGCCCAGGATTAAAATTTGGTCAGGAATCAAAATATAGAAACTTTGATGTTTGCACTTTATAAACCATAGTGTTTATATAAAGCGTAAGGGGAAAAATTGAAAAATATAAATAAGTAAATTAAATTAAAAAAAAAGAAACTTTGATGTTTGAAACGTATCTGGTAACAGGGATATTTCCATTAACCGTTGAATGAATTATTATATATGTTTGTTGGTAATCACAAAACACTGTAACACTGTAGCACCATTCTCCAGTTGCTAATGGATTTGCTCAAGCGGGCCCAGTAACGTCTCCATTGTGAGACTTGTTACTGTGTTTGGCATAAAACATCACAAACCACAATCACAAAATACAATAAAATTAAATACACTAAGAATTCTTTGCTAAATGAGTTCACTCTGATAACTTTTGATTTGTGGGGATTGGAGGCATTTTGAAAGCACCTAGGGGCTACTCCTGCCTCTGTGTTGGTTGGTGGCCAAGTTCTGGTGGTGCTCAGGGGATCATGCTTTTTCAGGGCTTCAGCCTAGACCTCCTGGTTTGCAAAGCCCATGCACAGCCTCATGAGCACTCTCTCTGGGCCAGTAAAATGTATTTCATGCTTCATTCAAATCTGAGGAATTCATTCTTACAGTGCTTTGGAAAAATTAAAATCTATGGAAGGACTAGAATATAAAGCCATTATGGAGAATGTGGATTTTTGTTGTTGTTTTGTCAGTCATCACAGACTAAAAAATACCTCTAGTCAGAAAATTGTAAGCAAGTAGCCAGTATTACTTTTCTTTCTCTTGCCTTTTGTATTTGGCTAAAACCAGTCAGAACAAGGAATAAGCACTAGAGCCTCCCTCCACAGCTGATTTTTTTTTTTTGTTAACTAGTTCTATATTCTTTTGGGGCTGCAGATGTTTGGAAAATTTAAGTGGCAGACTTAAATTCCCTCCCCTCCCCACCCACTTTGCATCCCCTGCTCCAACCCCCCCCCCACCCCCCAGCCATTTGATGAAACGTCTTGTGAATTGCTTTAGGGAGCAGTAAAAGCCCTTTCCCTGGAAGGAAGCATATATGGGATTATTAACATTTTTAGGGAATTATGTTATGTAAGCTTTATACTGATGTCTACTTTTTGAAATGGTAACTCTTATTTCTGATTTGTATTCATTTAGGAAAGTTGGAATGTTAAGGGTTAAAAAAAAGCTACCAATATGAATCAGTAGCTTGATAGGATCCTTAGTTAGTCCTGACCCCAGAGCCTGCACAGTGACCATTGTCTTACCTGCCTCCTCCAGGAGGTGAGTAGGTGGCAATTGCTTTATTGCTTTGAAATAAAAGGCCTTCAAAGGCTTTCCAATCTCTAAAACAGGGGAGAAATTTTAGCTGCTCCTTCCTTCTGTTAAGGGCACTGGGGCTCTGGGGCCCTATTTAATCTGCTCCTTTCCAAGGCTGAATATCCCCAGAGGCCTAGAGCCACAAGCTTCAAGTCTTAATTTTTAATCATTTTCGTGTGTGTTTAGGTGGGGGGTGGGGAGCAGGGAGGTTTGAACATTCTGGCTGTACTCAGGGCTACTCCTATCTTTGGGTTCAGCAGTCACTCCCAGCTGTCCTGGGGAATTATATATATATCTGCCTGTCCCAGGCTTCAAATCTCAACATGCTTCAACCCCTCTGTATCTGTGTAGTGTATGTATGTCTGAGAAAGGGGGTTTAAGGAGACGGATGAATCTGAAAAATTTCAATTGTTTCTCTTCGGGATACTGCATGAAGTCAGGTTATTTATTTCTCTTAAGCAGCAGAAAAGTTTATTGAAAAGTAGCAGAGATATAAACTTACCAATGGGAAACTTCCCAGCAGAGCCTTGTGCAGCCTTGATCAGCCCCTGGCCTTTGAATTTGTTTAGATCCTGGTATGTTTCCAAGATTGTGCCCTGGGAAATGTTAACTGCATTTTCACTTAGTCCTTTTCTGAAACTATTCTGGTAACATGCCTGGTTTTCTAGTTTCTAGAATTGGGTCTGGCATCAGACCTGCCAGAATTCCCGCCAGATATCAGGTTCAGCTTCCTGTTGGCAGGCTTATGGCAATGGGCAGAGGGCTGGAATTTCTAAGTTTCTTCTTGCTGCTCCTTTGCTGGGCTCTCTACATCTCTAGAAACTCCTGCCACCCCTGCTCTGCCTTCTTGGCTGCTCTGCCACCTGGCATTGTAGTGTATACTGCTCCTGCAAGTTCTTTCTCAGGCCAGAGGAAAATGATTTTCAAACCTACAGTTATCCTGCTGTTTCTCTCTTTAAGGTCATGAGGCAGTAAAACCATTTGCTTTCGGGGTCTCTTGCCTTCTTGGGGTTATTTTATAGGGTTCTTTGAGGAGATAGAGCAGTAGGATGGAGAACTGGAGGGATGCTTTTACCTTGTGTGAATGTGTTTACATGGCCTCCTGTGCTCCTGTGCTGGGGCCCTGAGCGCCCTAGGTGTAAAAATACTGAGTGGTAATTAGATGGTGGTTACTGTGTCTGCTGAGTGGCAGTGGACAGCATTCATTCATTCCTCACCTACCTGTGGCCCAAATAGAATACTAAGCACTAAGAATACAAATATTTTTAAACACCCGTAGTTTGGCTCTAAACTTTTGGGGAACTTGAGAGAGCCACACCTGTTGGTGCTTAGGGCTGACTCCTGACTGCTCTCAGGGATCATTCCTGGCAGAGCTCAGGGACCATATGTGGTGGCAGGGATCAAATGAGGGCCTGCCACTTGAAAGATGAGTGCTTTACCAGCTGTACTAACTTTCTGGTCTAAGGCTCTACATTTTTTAAAACTCTGGTGGACAGGAGTGAACTAGATCGTTTCAGTACAATGAGGGGATCCCTACAGAATTGGTTTTGTTGTAGCCTGTGGGAGCGACAAATCCCACAGTGGTGAGTGTTCCCAGCAGGCAGTTCCCAAGAGGCTGAGCGTCATCTGAGTCCCCAAGATTGATTATTTTTGGATGTTGTTGTTCTGGGGCCGTAGCTTGCGATGCTCAGGGATCACTCTCAAGGTGCTTTGAGAGCCAGATGGGATGTCGGAGTGGGCTGTGTGCAAGGCCCTACCAGCCATTCTATCTCTCCAGCCCCACAGGATTTCTCAAGTTGGAAAGTGGAATGCTTCACAGCCTTCCTCTCAAGTGTTTGTTTTAATATTGCTGTTTGGCATGTGTCCATTTGGCCTTCTTCATTTTTGTGCCTGCTAGTCTTTGTATCCATCAGAAGTTGCAGCAGCAGACTTTTTGGTTTATGTTTTGGGTCACATCCTGCTGTGCTCAAGGTATACTCTTGGCTGTGTGCTCAGGGGTCACTCCTAGCTGGGCTTTGAGGACCATGGGCAGGTCTAGGGATTGAATTCTGTTCAGCTGCATGCAAGGCAAATATTCTAGCTACTGTACTTTTTCTCTGCTTCGATGCAGTAGCTGCTTTTTTTTTCTGTTTGTTTTGATGTTAGGGCCACATCTGGCAATGTGTTGCTTTGAGCTCTGCACTCAGGGATCATTCCTGATAGAACTTGGGTGGGGAGGGGTCTGTGGGGTGCTTGGGATTGAACAGGTCAGCCATATGCAAGATTAGTGTCCTTCCTATTCACTATACTCTCTCTCTGGCCCGAAGCAGTAGCTGTGTTAGGAGTTTCCAAATTCTGCTTTTGTTGATGCCCTCCACTCCTTCTGCTTTTGTTGTTTTTTGTTTGCTTGCATACTTAGTTGCTGCTCTTTGCAAAGACTATACATATAGTGGTGGTGCTCCCTTGCATGTGGTTGTGGGACTCCTCAGGGATTGCCTACTGGTTGTGGTGCTGGGACACGCTTGACTTTGGTGCATTAGAGATTAAACCCTTGCTTTGGCACTGGGGTGACCCTATCAAAAGTACTGTTGGTGCTGAACATTGGGGTTGAACACAATGATGTGGGAGATGCTAGGGACTGAATTAATATTAAGGCCCCAGACCTGCAAGGCAGGCGGTTGGCTTACCTTTGGCACAGGTCCCTGGGACTCAGAGGCTCTGCTTTTCAGGCTCAAATAAAATAAGTATTCTTTAAAAATTAGATTACCTAGGCCTTAAGCCACAAGCACTTTTGTTTGTTGCTTACCAAAATTAGGACTCTAAAATTCTTGTTCACTCAGAATTTTTAGTAGGAAACAAGGACAAATTAGCATATGAAATGAAAATAGCTGTTACAGTGACAAAATATGTGGATCAGATTTCTAGAAACTGAATTAGTAAGTCTCAAACTATTAACATTAGGCAAATTGATGGGAAAAAAAGGCATAGCATTTGAATAATGCTCTCCTTGTCCAAAATTTCTATCATTTAGGTGAAAAATTTTTGTTACTATTTTATGTTATTCTAAGGTTAAAAAGTATTGTAATATTTTTACATATTCACATATTCCACAAGGAAAACATCTAAATTCATAATTTTAATAGTATAGTTTATAGTAATTAAGCATTATTTGATCTAACTGCTAAATATTCAGATCGAAGTTTGATAATATTTTCTATGGCATACTATATATCTGAAATATTTTTTCTAGTTACTTTTCCTATGTAATGATATATTTGTTACTTAAAACAATGTATAATTCTGATAGATATTTGCTTAGCTCCAAGTAAATACCCAGGACTTTAGCTTTAGCACTGATAATATTGTCCTGTTATATGATCCCCACTGCATTCTAGTATCTGACAATTTGATTTAATGAACACAGTTAAGGTGTTCATTTCAGGCATTGAAAGATCAGTGTTGGCTTTGTGGTTAATTTGCCATATCAGCACTATTAATGATAAGTAATTTTTTTTTTTTTTTTGCTTTTTTGGGCTGGAGTGATAGCACAGCAAGTAGGGCGCTTGCCTTGCACGCAGCTGACCCACAGCTAATTCCTTCGTCCCTCTCGGAGAGCCCGGCAAGCTACCGAGAGTATCCTGCCCGCACGGCAGAGCCTGGCAAGCTCCCTGTGGTGTATTTGATATGCCAAAAACAGTAACAATAAGTCTCACAATGGAGACGTTATTGGTGCCCGCTCTAGCGAATCGGTGAACAGCGGGAGTACAGTGCTACAGTGCTTCAGTGCTTGGCTTTTTTGGGTCACACCTGGCGATGCTCCAGGGTTACTCCTGGCTCTGCACTCAGGAATTAACTCCTGGTGGTGCTTGGGGAACCATATGGGGTACTGGGAATTGAACCCAGATGGGCCGCCTGCAAGGCAAATGCCCTACCTGCTATGCTATTGCTTCAGCACCCCGGTAAGTAATTTCTAAGCAACATTTAAAAGCTACTAAGATTATTATCACCCTATTTTTAGGATTATTAAATCTTTATAATGAATTATTACCTCTTTTATAAATGTATCACTTCTTTTTTATACATCCACTGAGCTCTGTGTCTGGCCTACATAGCCTGCAGAAAACTTAAAGGGAAGACAGAGACAACTGTAAGAATAGAGAGTCAGGAACCCCAGACATTTAAGTAGGCTTGGAAAGATGAGTAAAAATGGGAACTTAAAATTCCCAGGGAATCCAGATAGAGTATATTCTCTATCTCCTGTCTCTTCTGTTTCAAAAATCTTAACTCTCTGCTCACTGGCTTATTTGCTCCTCAGTTCACATGATAGAGTGAGGTGAGAGGTTTTTTTTTTTTTTTGATTACTAACTATAGGGAGTAACAACTCTCAATTCCAGATTTCTGGAAGGAGGATAATTACATTAGGTGTCCATTCCTGGTTAACCTGAAGGGCAGGGTCACAGAATGGCTAAAGGGGACTCTGTGTGTGTGTGTGTGTGTGTGTGTGTGTGTGTGTGTGTGTGTGAGAGAGAGAGAGAGAGAGAGAGAAAGAGAGAGAAAGAAAGAGAGAGAGAAGCTCAGTGTACCCTCCAAAAGGTATGTACTGTATTCCTTTAGATATGTATTAAAACTAATAGCGTCATTATATTTTCATACTCCAGCTAAGAACATTAAAGGAAGAAAGAATATTAGGGTTGGTTTAGTAGAGGAGTCTTTTGTCATTACCATGTGGAGAAAAATAATTCTGTTGCACTTAGACATTTGAATTTAATATTTTATTTTCTTTCTAACAGGTTAGTGGTTACTTGGATGACTGTACCTGTGATGTTGAAACCATTGACAGATTTAATAACTACAGACTTTTCCCAAGACTGCAAAAACTTCTTGAAAGTGACTACTTTAGATATTACAAGGTATTTTTATTTCCACTTTTCCCCCTCTACTCCAGTACCAAATGCCTTTATTGGTTGCAATAGGATATGGCAGTTAGGTCTGGATATGATTGTTCCAGTTCCTAGGTGGATGCCAAAGACTATGTAGCTGCTCCCAAAAGCTATTTCTATTTTATTTTTTACATGGACTTTATAGTTTAGGGGCTAGTGTGATAGTACAGCACATAGGGAGCTTGCCTTGCATGTAGCACCACATATGGTACCCTGCGTTTACCAGATTAACCTCTGATCACTGCTGGGTATGGGTCAAAACACCAAAAACCAAAACACCAACCAAGCCAACAGGAATACATCGAGTTTAAATCAATATCTTAGGAGTTCAAAATTTATATTTAAAATTTGATTATTTAAGTTTGATCAAAATTATATTAAGAAAATTCAGTTCACCAGAATGAACCATGTGGTTCTAAAATTATCCACCCAGTGGATAATTTTGTGTATTTACTGGGTTTTAGGACCCAAACCTGATGGTGCTTGGGGACTATTCCTAGATCTATGCTAGAAACTTTTAACTTTAATAACATAATTTTGGGATTTTTTTGCTTGTTTTTTTAATTTTGTCTTCACCTACTGGTGCTCAGGGCTTACTCTTGACTCTGCGCTCAGGAATCACTCTTGGCAGGTGGTGGAGGGGTACCATGTGTGGTGCCAGGGATCAAACCTGAGTGGGCCATGTGAAAGGCAAACACACTGCTTGCTATGCTATTGCTCAGGCCCCAAGTTTGTTTTGTTTTATTTTTATTTTTTTTAATTGAATCACCATGAGATACACAGTTACAAAACTTTCATGATTGGGTTTTAGTCATACAATCTTCCAACACCCATCCCTCTACCAATGTACATTTTCCTCCACCAGTGTCCCCAGTATCCCTCTCGCTACCTTTCCACCCCCCTCAAGACCCACCACCTGCCTCTATGGAAGGCACTTTTCTTCTTGTTTTCGCTCTCTCTCTCTCTCTCTCTCTCTCTCTTTCTCTCTCTTTCTCTCTCTCTCCCTTCTTCCCTCCCTCCCTCCCCTCTGGGGCATTATGGTTTGCAATACAGATAATAAGAGACCATCATATTTGGTCCTTTACCCACTTTCAGCACATCTCTCTCATCCAGAGCAATCCCTCCAACCATCATTGTCATAGTGGTCCCTTTTCTATCTACCAGCTGCCCTCTCCTACAGCACTTGAGGCAGGTTTCCAACTGTGGATGAATGCTCCTGGCCCTTGTTTCTACGGTTCTTAGGTGTTAGTCTCATAGTAGGTGTTAGTCTCATACTATGTTATTTTATATCCTACAAATGAGCATAGTCATTCTATGTCTGTTCTTCTCCTTCTGACTCATTTCACTTAGCATGATACTCTCTGTGTCCGTGAGGAGTATGTGCTTTTGAATTAGAAACGAGTTGGTTAATTTGAAATTAGAACAGAAACTGTCAAATGCTTATCAAAATTGTGAGTTGTTAATAATTTTCCAAAATAATCAGATTGACACTAGTTAGTGAAAATAATTAAATATTTCAGTGAATCATGGTTTTATTCTCATTTCTGTTATTTAGTAGACCACTGATATTTTATCTAGAGATATCACCTAAGTTTAGGAAACTTGGCTATAGGTATATGCTCACAATAGTTTAAATTTCTCCCTGTTAACTGTTACTTGCTGGAACAATATGAGTTGAGCAGATGATCTGAGAGCAGGAGTACTATGACTCCAAGTTGCTCGAGTGTGTTTCACAGCCATCGATGACTTTCTCACTTGATGAATGGTAAGTAGAAAAAATAGAATGGATGCAACTGATGACATGACAAGCTCTTAACATTATAGTTAAGTATTGGTCAGCTATAATCTCAAGATTCACACTTTAGTTACTTTCTCTTCTGTTATTTTATAGGTTAACCTGAAAAGGCCATGTCCTTTTTGGAATGATATTAGCCAGTGTGGAAGAAGGGATTGTGCTGTCAAGCCTTGCCATTCGGTAAGAACTATGTGTGTGTATATATGTGTGTGTGTATGTGTGTGTGTGTGTGTGTGTGTGTGTGTGTGTGTGTGTGTGTGTATGGGCTGGAGCGATACACAGTGGGTAGGGTGTTTGCCTTTCATAGAGCCAACATGGCTGACCCGAGTTCGATTCCTCCACCCCTCTTGGAGAGCCCAGCAAGCTACTGAGAGTATCTTGCCTGCACGGCAAAGCCTGGCAAGCTACCCGTGATGTATTCGATATGGCAAATACAGTAACAAGTCTCACAATGTTACTGGGCCCACTCAAGCAAATCAATGAACAATGGGAGGACAGTGACAGTGAAATATATATATATATATATATATATATATATATATATATATGCACCACTCAAGGTGTTGGGGTCTGTCCTGACTTTGTATTTGGGAGATCACCCTCATGGTGCTGGGAGTTGAACTCAGGACTCCTGCAATCATAGCATGCACTCCAGCCTGTTGAGCCATCAACCTGGCCTCAGTTTTAGGAGGTTACTATACTGTTATACTGTTTTGGACAGTGGCTACAGCATCTTACTTTCTTTTTTAAGAAAATCAATAAATTAATTATAGGTTACAGACTGATGGATGAGTTCCATTTTATAGTATCTAAGAGTAAATACCACCAATTTCAACATTCAGGAAGTTCTAAAAGAAAGGTGTTTATATTTGATCTGAACACCTAGATATGTGGAAAAAAGAAGCTGCAAGTTAAGGTTAGCAATTGGTACTGAGAAACTGAGATAAAATCTAGTTATTTCACCTTCTGCAGAACTGAAGCAGAATGCCTTTTATGGTAGTTCTCTTTTTTTCTTGAACTGGTTTCATGATGGAGAGAAAGCTTTTTCTTGATAAGTCCGCATTACTTTTAAAAAGGATGAATATATTATGTTTATCTACTACAAAAATGTTCTTTGTTTATCAATATTTATTAGTGTAGCAGAGAAGTACTATGGTTACACCTAAGATTTACAAAGACAGCTAGAAATGTCATGGAAAATGGAAGAAGAGGTGATGAAAAATAGATTGGCAAAGGCAGGTGAATTAACGATTGACTGTAATTTGGTTCCACTATTAGTACTTTTTTGAGGTCAGAGAGAAAGTACAAAGGATAAGGTGCTTGCCTTGCAGGTAGCCAACTTTGCTTCTGTTCCTATCACTGTGTATGGTTTCTCAAGTACTACCAGGTGTTATCCCTGAGCACAGAGACAGGAGTAAGCCCTGAACACCACTGGTCGTTGAGTAAGCCCTGAACATCCCAACCCCCAAATAATAAGTACTTTTTTTGTTTGTTTGTTTTGGGCCATACTTGGTGATACTCAAGAGTTACTCCTGGCTCTCACTCAGGAATTTTTCCTTGTGGTACTCAGGAGATGCTGGAGATCAAACCTGAGTTGGCCATGAACAAGGCAAGCACCCTACCTACTGTACTATTGCTCTGACCCAATAAGTATGTTTTGAAGGCCTACTGTGTGCCATAATATGGACATATAAATGAATTTTATCTTGAAGAGCTTAAGGTGTAGTAAGGGAAATTTTCAGGGTTCATTTAAAAAGAAATGTGACAGCTTGAAAAGAGATGTATGGAAGGTTATCCACAGGGGTACAGAGGGAAGAGAGAGCGAAGGAGAAAGATGCGGAGAAACTCTGAGTAAGGATGTGGGGATGATCCCTTATCATTTCTCTGTTACAGTCCTGGATGCTGTCTCATAGTTTGTACAGAGGGAAGTCTGTCAGAACCCAAGAGGTGATGAAATGCTATTTCAGATATTTGGAAATACAGCATAACCAGCCTTCTTCGCTGTATTTAAACAGTGCACTACTGGTATCTTGACATCTCAGTATTATTATACTGCAGTATGCATTTTAAAAGAGGGCATCAAGAGCTTTATTACATTAAATAGAGTATAATTATTATACATGAAATAATGATACTAGTTATTATAATTTTTTGCAGTGCCAGGGATTGAACCCTGGGTCTGACACATTATGAAGCATGTGCTATACCTCTGAGCCACACTCCAGCCCAAGAATTCTTTTCTTTTCCTTCCTTCCTTCCTTCCTTCCTTCCTTCCTTCCTTCCTTCCTTCCTTCCTCCTTCTTTTCTTTCTCTTTTCCTCCCTCCCGCTCTCTTTCTCTTTCTCTCTTTCTCTTTCTCTTTTTCTTACTTTCCTTTTTCTCTCCCCTTCCTTCCTTCCTTCCTTCCTTCCTTCCTTCCTTCCTTCCTTCCTTCCTTCCTTCCTTCCTTCCTTCCTCTCTTTCCTTTTTTATTGAGGGGGGGGAGGGCACAGCCATCGATGCTCAGGGGTTACTTCTGTCTCTGTATTCAGGAATTATTTCTGGCAGTGCTCAGGGGACCATATGGGCTGCTGAGGATGAAACCTAGGTTGGTTGCATGCAGTGCAAGCACCCTATCTGAGTTACTATCTCTGGCCCCAAATAATTCTTTCTTTATCTCACATGTGTATAAGCTGAAACAGTTAACCTCCTTACTTCAGATGGTTTGCCTCTGTTTTGTTAATATCTCTAAGACTAAAAAGAACAGTTTCGTTTTTTTCGGTACTTTAATGTCACCTTTCAGCTCATTTTTATCCTTGGTTCAGGTTATAACCTGAAACCCAGCAGGACAAAGAAAACATTAAGATTGAAATTCTCATTCACATATTTTGTAATTTAAGATTCAATCCTTTGATTTTACACCTGATTCTAGAAAATATTTGAGTTTGGAAGATAGTTTGCACAGTAGGGTTGGAATCTATAAGCTGAAAGGCCAACTATTCTTTTCACAATGATTAAAAATTTTCACTTTCAATTATGAGTTGGTCACTATGAAAAAAGGAATAACAATATTGGTAGTTTAGGTGTAAGAATTAAGCATTCTGATGGGAAATCTCTTTGGAGATCAGTGTGGCAAATTTATTTAAGATATTTCAAAGTCCTTCTGCATTGACCTAGTGATTCTGCTTGAAATTACAGTGTCTACAGTTGGACACATGTTTGTGTTTTTTTTCTTTTTGGGTCATACCCAGAGAACATATGTTCCAAGATTTCCCAACACAGTATTAAATCTTGCAGATATGTCAGTTCTCCTGAAATTAATTGGTAAATCTGGCTTGATTTATTGTGTGACAAAATTAGAAACCATCTATTTGTTTGGCCACAGAGAAAGGACATATGCTCACCTAGTTCAGAGTTAGGAAAGGAATCTAACAAAGTGATTGCCTTTGTGTAGGTTCTTTGGGGCAGAAGTGATCTATCTCATAGCATTGGAAGAAGACGTTGCAGTTTACAGTTCTCTCTGATACATCATTTTGTTTGGGGGGGATGGTGGGGAACATCTGGCTCTGAGCTCAGGGAGTCACTCCTGGTGAGGTTCAGGGGCCATATGTGGTGGTGGGTATGGAACCTGGGTTGAACACATGCAAGGCAAACTCCCTACCTTGCTGACCCCTCCTGTACATCATTATCTCAATTCATAGCATCAGTCAGAGAACAAACAGATAGGACCTGTAGTTAGTAGGTGACCAATGTAAAACCAAAAGCCAGGACCTATGGACATGACTCAAGTAGGACATGGCCTTGCATGAGTGAGGTCTTTGATTCAATCCCTGACACTGCATGCGCCTCCACTGCCACCCCCACACTTCCTGAGCACCACTGGGAATGGCTCCAATAATAATAAATAACAGATAAAGAAATAATACAATATATTAAAAGTAAACCCACAAGTTCCATTTTCCCCTGAGAAGAACTAGGACTCTTTAAACAGGACATATTGATTGATTCCAGGGCCAGAGCCAGAGTCAGGAGTAACCCCTGAGCACCACCACCAAATCAATCCATCAATGAGTCAATCAATATGTCCTGTTCTTTAAAAAAAAGTGATTGATTCCAAGACTAGAGCAAGAAATATGCTGGGTGGGGAGCTTGGAGTCTCCTAATATAGCAGAAAATCAAAAGATGCTGCTGAAAGGGTGCAAGGTTCAAATATCAAGTTAGTTCTTAGTGGGCAAATGTGGGATAATTTGAGCATCAAAAGGAATAATGACTAAGTAATTTTATGTTTCTATTCTGTAATATATGATCAGTAATCTATAGAATAATTTGTTGAATTTACTTCTAATAATATAAAAGCAAATTATTCTCATTAAAATAAATTAAATTCTATAATTTTGATAACAACCATAAAGTTAAGTTTTTTTTCAAAAGATAGAATAAAGGACAAATAAAATCTTTTTTTTTTTTTAACTAGGATGAAGTACCTGATGGCATTAAATCTGCAAGCTACAAGGTATAAATATATACTTTTCCTTCCTTCCTCCCTTCCTTCCTCCATTCTTTCCTTCCAATTAAACCCAGATTTCATGCATGAAGGCATGTGTTTTACTGCTGATCCACATCCCAAGTCCTACATCTACTAATGAATATGTCTAGTACCTCAACTGACTCATTTCCCCTCTCATCTACTATTTGTTGGTCTGCTCCCCTCAACAGTGCATCCCTTGAGATTTATTTGTTCTCAAAGGTGTTTTTCCTTTGGTTTAGCCATCTGTTATAGGAAACATAAAAGTAGAAAATCAGAGCATGTACTCACCTGCTAGCTTGAACAGTGATCAATGTATGGCTACTCTTGTGTCATTAATACTTCTCCCTTCACTCTCTTATTATTTTACTATCCAATCTTAAATCATTTTGTTTACAAATGCTTCACCTTAATCTCTAAGACCAAGAAGGTACTTAAGAAAATATAGTTGTCATTGGGGTTCAGATACCTGCAGTTGTTTCCTAAATGCCATCTTAATCATTATTTTTTGTTTTTAAACACTATTAGAACATTTCTTACACATTGAATTAGTTTGCTCTGTCTCATAGAAATCTCTCTTTTTTTTATTAAAAGAAAATTTTTAATAGTGAGACATCATGAGGTACAGTTGCAGACTTACACATTTTTGTGCTTGGGTTTCAATCATACAATGATCAAATACCATCCCTCCACCAGTGCCCACTTCCCACTACCACGGATCCCAGTATCCCTCCCACCCCTCCATCCCTCCCACCCCCCATCCCCCCCATCCCACCCTGTCTCTGTGGCAGGGCATTCCCCTCTGTTTTCTCTCTCCTTTTGGGTGTTGTGGTTTGCAAAAGAAACATTGAGTGGCAATCATGTTTGGTCTATAGTCTACTTTCAGCATGCTTCTCCCATCCTGGAAGGATCCTCCCAACACCTTTATTTGGTGTTCCCCTCTTTATCTGAGCTCCCTTTTCCCCTAGTATGTGTGGTTGGCCTCCAAGTCATGGAGTAAAATTCCTGGTACTAATCTCGGCCATTCTTGGGTGTTAATTTCCTATTTTGTTACTTTATGTTCCCCAGATGAATGCAGTCTTTCTATGTGTATCCCTTTCTTTCTGAAGAAATCTCTCTTTTTTGTTTTGTTTTTGGGCCACACCTGGCTGTTCTCAGTGCTTTCTCCTGTCTCTGTGTTTAGGACTTAATCCTGGCAGGGCTTAAGGGACCATCTGTGGTGTCAGGGATCAAACCTTAGTCAACTGCATGCAAGCAAAGCATCTAATCCACCATAGTAACTCTCCAGCCCCTTATGCCTCTCTCCAGGTTACTTTTTTATTTTATACTTTTAGATTTACAGAAAAGTTATGATGATAGTATGGAATTCTCATATACTTCAGATCCAGTTTTATCTATAATTAGCATCTTAAATATGGTAAACTCTTTGTTATTAATAACCCAATATTGGTGTAATCACTAACTAAGGTGCATATATTTGTTAAGATTTCTGAAATTTTCAGATCCCTTACATGACTTCACATTACATGTACTAATTATATCTTCTCAGATCCAGTTTTGACAGTGACTAAGTGTTTCACATGGTATTTTGGTTTTAATTTGTTTTGGCCACACCTGATAGTGCTCAGGGCTTACTTCTGGTTCTATACTCAGAGATCACGCCTGGTGGGTCTCTAAGAGCCACATGTGGTACTGGGGATGTCTGGATTGTGTAAGGCAAACACTGTACCTGCTGTACTGTCACTCTGGTCTATGATATGATGTTTTTGGGGAGTACTTGTGAGGTATTTTGTAAGAGTTCCTTCCATGGGATTTGTCTGATGATTTTCTCATCAGGCTGGAATGGAGTGTTTTTGGAAGGAAGACTACGTTTTTTTTCCTGTGGTCAAAAATAAGGAAGACCATGTTTTTGGAAAAGACCAAGGTCATTTTCCCCACATCACATCAAGAACATGTGTGATTGATGTGAACTCATCACTGCTGATGTTATATTGATCATCTGACAGAGGTTGTTCTTATCAGGTTTCTCTACTGTAGGTTTATTATTTCTCCCCTTTTTAATATTTTATTCTTTGGAAGAAAGTAAGTGCAGTGCATACCTCAGTGCATACTATTCTCTATGACAATAGTAATTGGAGGTCTGGAGTAATAGCACAGCGGGTAGAGCATTTGCCTTGCATGCAACCGACCTGGGTTTGATTCCCAGCATCCCATATGGTCCCCTGAGCACCACCAGGGGTAATTCCTGAGTGCAGAGCCAGGAGTAACCCTTGTGCATCGCTGGGTGTGACCCAAAAAGCAAAAAACAAAAACAAATAGTAATTGGAATTCTTTAGTATGTGAGAGCTATATATTTTTCCTCCATTTGCCATTCAACCATTTATTTATATTATGCATATTTCTTTTATACTTTAGATTATTATACTCCAGTACAATTGTAGTTTATTGCTCAGATCATTCTGTTCTGGTGAGCTATTTTTAGCATTTTCTTTTTTTTTTTTAAATGATGTTCCCTGCAGTGTGTGTGTGTGGTGGGGAGTGCCACAGCCTGTGGAAATCCTCCTCTTAGTGAGGGAAGCTTGCTCTGCCCTTCCCTGACAGCTCCCCAAAGCACTTCCTTTCTGAAACTCATCTTTATGTTCTATTCATAAATATCTTAGTAATCCATATTCCTTCCCTAGTGTCTTTCTTGGCCTTCTGTGTGTTGAATGGAATGAGTCATTATTCTATAAAATTTCCCACATGTTGTTTGCATCTTTGTTGTGTCATATAACATATTGCTCTTGTTATTTTCTATAAACTGATGAATAGTTGAAAGTGTATCAGAGGACCTGGAGAGGAAGCTCAATGGGCTGATTGCATGCTTCATATGCTGGAGGTCTAGGTTCCATTCCTGGACTGTATGGCTCCATAAGCCCTTCCAGGTGTGGCCCCCAAATCATAAACAAGGTTTATCAGATTGAGATATTAAATACTATTTTCTGCTTTAGTCAGGTGTAATTGATAAAATTGTGAGATTTTTTTAAGTGTATTTCATGGTGATTTGGTATGTGTATATATTGAAAGTATTCATCCCAGCTAGTTAACACATTTGTCATCCCAGATAAATTACCTTTTTTATCTTTATTTTGAGGGGGGCCACACCCAGTGATGCTCGGGGATTACTTCTGGCTCTGTACTGAAGAATCACTCCTGGCAGTGCTTGGGGAGTGATTGGCATGCTGAAGATTGTTGGCCACTTGCAAGGCAAATGCCTCACCTGCTATACTATCACTCTAGTCCCTATAATTATTGTTTTTTATTGTGGCAACATTTAAGTTCTGCATTCTTAGCAAATTTTAGTTATGTAATATAGCTCTGTCAATTTCAGCTGCATTAGCTTCTCAGACCTTCTGATCTTAAAGCTAAAAATTTGTATCCTTTTACCAGTCTCTCTTTTTCCCCTCATTGCCCAGCCCCCTGGTTACCGCTTTCTTTCTCTTCTTTGAGTTGGACTTTTTTAATTCACTTATGAATGTTACCATGCTTTGTTCTTTCTCTCTCTTCTTTTCATTTTGTTGAGGGCCAGTCAGCATCATGCCCCCATGGTTTCTCCAATGTGGCTCAGAGAGTTGACTTCCTTATGCCTTGACAATTTTCTAATAGACATTTTAATAATGAGTTCTCAGAATCAGAATTCATTCTATTATTTTTCCTTTTTTTAAAAAAATTGGGTTTTGGGCTACCCTTTGGCTGGTGCTCAGAGCTTACTTTGGCTTTCCTAGAGGGCTCAGGAGATCATATGGGGTTCTGGGAATTAAACCTGGGTCAGTTGCAAGCACCAGAGGGCAAGCACCTTATCCTTGTACTATCTCCTTGGCCCAATTTTAATTTGTATTCAATTAACAGTGTATGTTAAGCTGTGTGGGTTATAAAGAAACATAATAGGGATATAACAAACACCCAAAGGCAACAGAAACCGAAAACTGGTTTTCTGTGGAAGCTTACTACTAGGGAGGAAAGGGGGCGTTAAAGTGAAGTGTGGGGGGCCAGAGTGATAGTACAGGGTGTTTGCCTTGCATGCGGTAGGGCATTTGCCTTGCAAGCGGCTGACCCGTGTTCAATCCCCGACATCCCATAAGGTCCCCTAAGTACTGCCAGGAGTAATTCCTGAGTGCAGAGCCAGGAGTAACCCCTGAGCATCGGTGGATATGACCCCCCAAAAATAAATAAATGAAATGAAGTGTGGGAGGGTAGGTAGTGGGACAATGGTGGGAGGAGGTGGTCACTCTGGGGGAGGGAGTGATATGGGATAGTGTTATGCATGAAACTTTATCATTAACAGTATTGTCAAGGGCTGCCTAAAATAAAAATTGAAAAAGTAAATGTTTTTCAATAAAAACAAGGAGCAAAACCTTTTATTTACTTTTTGAATTTTACAAGGAATGTAAGGAAGACTAATTTTTTTAAAATTTTGAAGCCATAGAGATGATTCCACATATAAAAGAAACTCAAATAATTGTTTGAAGGTTACTAAAAATGCCATTAAGTTGTGTTCAATTTCCCCTTTCATTTTAGTATTCTGAAAAAGCCAATAGTCTCATTGAAGAATGTGAACAAGCCGAAAGACTTGGAGCTGTGGATGAATCTCTGAGGTTTGATTTTTTTTTTTCTGTTTTAGTTGTGTTTTCTCAATAAAACATTAACCGAAAAAACAGTGTTTATTTTGTTTATTTGAAGTGAGGAGACTCAAAAGGCTGTTCTTCAGTGGACCAAGCATGATGATTCCTCAGACAACTTCTGTGAAGCTGATGGTAAATTTAATTTTTTTTAATAGTATGCATTTGTTTAGCATTGCACCTCAAGGGGGAAAATTCTTTTCATTTTTTAAAAATTTTTTATTAGTGAAACACTATGAAGTACAGTTGTAGACTTACAATTTTTTTTTTAAAACCAGTTTCTCATAGTTTGGTAATTCCTGAAAGGTTAACTGTAGAATTATCACATGACCTACTAAGTCACCTCCTGAGGGTATCCCTAAAACATTGATACATAAGTCCATGAAAATAGGACTTAGACATCAATATTTATGCACGTCTTCAAAATAGCCTAAAGACAGACAACTTAAGTGTAAATATGTTTCATACTTAAAATGAAATATTATCCAACTGTAAATAGAAATGGTGCTCTAATAGGTGCTGAAACATGGATGAACTTTGAAAAATATTATGCCAAATTAAGCAAGCCACACATAACAGGACAAATAAGATTCCATATATATAAAATACCAAGAAAAGGTAGAGACAACAAGTAGATTTGATGTTACTAGGTTTTTAGGGGAATTCAGGATGGGGAATTTTTGCTTAATGTCACAGTTTCTGTTTGGGATTTTAGGGGAAGTTTGGAAATAATGGTGATGATGGTATAACATTATACATATAATGAATGTCAATAGATTGTACATTTAAGAATGGCTAAACTGGTAAATTTTATCTTATATATATTTTACCATAGTAAAAATAAATTATAAAACAAACTCAATTCCTGGAAAAAATTGAGCCCTTGAGTTTTGTGGGCCACACATGGTAGTTCTCAGGAGCTACTTTCAGGTCTGTGTTTAGTGGACCATGTAGTATAATTATCAAATGCCCTGCATACAATATTGAGCGTTAGCCCACTGAGCTGCCTCCCTGGCCCCAAGTTTTATTTTCTTTTTTTTCCATTTTTTTGGCTTTTGGGCCACACCTGGTGATGCTCATGAGTTATTCCTGGCACTGCACTGAGAAGTTATTGCTGGCAGTGTTCAGGGGAACATATGAGATGCTGGGAAACAAATCTGTGTCAGCTTCATGAAGGTCAAAGTGCTCTACTTGCTGAACTATATATCTCTCTGGCCCTAAATTTTTAATATCTAATTATGAATATATTTATAATACATCAAGGCATTTATGTAAATGCCTGTATAATAATAGTTAAAGAGTAGGGAGTGTAAAACCCTGCTTTTGTTACATTGGTATCATATTGTTAAATAATTTTCTTAGTGATGTTTCACATTACTTTTGAAAAAGACTTCTGAGCCATGAGTTGTTCTGTGACACGTACAGCTGAATGTGATTCAATTCATTCTGGATTGAATGCTGATGCTATTAAAACCAGGAACCCTAAAGCTCATTAGAATGAATAATCAAAATGTACAGATTCTTCTCATGTCCTTTTAACTTTTCTATAATGCTTATCTTTTCATTTTGTTTGACAGCATTTATAATTAATAGTGGAGAGATTGTACAGGGCTTAAGGTACTCACCTTGAAGCTTCTGACCCTGGTTCAATCCCTGGCATCACATATGGTTCACTGAGCACCATCAGGTGACCGTTGAGCACAGAAAGAGCCAGGAGTAGCCTCCAGGTGCCACCAAATATGGGCCAACCCCCCTGGCCCCAAGTTAAGTGGTCTATTAAACTGTATCTTTATGCTTACACCATAGTTGTATGCTTATTATTGTTCCTAGCATTCTGCACATATAAACTCATTTACATCTCATAGTTATACCCTGAGTATCCACATTTTACAAATCATGTCATCAAGGCATTGAGAATTCATGTACATTGCCCAGGATTACACTTGAATAGTAGTGGGACTTGGGTTCTCTTTTTGTTTTTTGATTAGTTTTGGGCCATAGCTGGTGGTACTCAGGGCTTTTCCCTGGCTCTCTGGGTTCACTCTTTCACTCCTAGCTGGGCTATGGGGACCATATGTGGTGCCAGGGATTAAAATTGAGTCAGCTGCATGCAGGGAACGTGATACTGCTGTACTATCTATTATTACCATGGGATCTGAATCTGATTAACATACTCTGGGTCCAATACTCTTGCTTAAGGAAGAGAGTTAAATTGCTCAGGGAGCTGGGGGTGTAGTTCAGTGGTATAGTGCAACCTTTGCAGACATTAGGACTTGGGTTTGACCCCTGGCATAACGAACATAAAAAGGAACCTTTTTATGTGCTCTTCTCTCTTGGGCATTTAGGTTCTTCCATTTTCTCCTGCTTTATGTGATATATGATGTTCACACAAATGCCATCCTGTAGAACTTTTTGCATATTGAGGATGTGTCTTTGGGTTTGATGATTCACATTTAAGGAGGAAGTATTAGAGAATTGTGTGTGATAATAATACTTACTTATTTACCCCAGTCACCATGAATTCTTGTGGAGAGATACATAGTATATTCTTTGTCAATACAAGATAGCTTGTAAGAATTGAATCACAATGTTTCTTTTTCTCAGAAGTCACAATTTTGTATTTGGGCCAAAATACTCAGGGGATTACTCCTGGTTTTGCACTCCGGAATCATTTCTGGTGGGGCTCAGGAGACCATATAGGATGCCAGGGATCATGGTCCCCCAGAGATGGAACACAGGCTGGCCATGGGCAAGGCAAGCAAGGCAAGTGCCTTAAGTGCGTATTATCTCTCCAGCCCCACATCTTTTTATGGTGTAGCCATTTCTAACAACAAGAAGCCTTTTAGCCATTGTGTGCATTGTTTGAGCTGAGATCTGGTCTTCCTTCTTTTCTCTCCTTTTCCCCAGAAAAGTTGTTTCTGAATCCCCTTGTTACATATTGGGTTGAATCATTTGTGGTTCCTTAAGGTAACTGAAGGACAGAAAATTTAAAAGAAGTTTTATCTTACAGACATACAGTCTCCTGATGCTGAATATGTTGATTTGCTCCTTAATCCTGAGCGATATACAGGTTACAAGGGACCAGATGCGTGGAAGATATGGAATGTCATCTACGAAGAAAATTGTTTTAAGTATGTTGTTTTAAGTTAATTTACTTTTGGAAACTATATATGCTTTATAAACAAACACAATCACAGTGCTTTAAAAATATAAATCATGGGTCAGCGAGAAAGAGTACAGGGCTTAAGGTACTTATCTTGCATGAGCCGAGCCTGGATTTGATTCCCGGGTACTGTTTATGGCCACAGAAGCCCTTCTTGAGCATAGAGCCTAGAGTAAGCCTTGGGGTCATGCACACAGCCATGTGTGACCACAAACCCTACCCCCCAAAAAGTAAAGTATAAATCAGAACTGTGGAAATAGCTCAACAGAGCCCCAAGGTCACCTCTCTGGCACCATGTGTTACTACTCCTAAGCTCCAGGCCAGGAGTGCCCCTGAGCACCACAAGGTGTGACCCCTCCCCCAACAACAACAACAGCAACAATAACAAATCGAAGACAAATGAAATTCACTCTGTGAAAGGAAGTATTTGAACAACCAAACTATTCATTCATCTATTTCCCCCATAGGAAATATGTAAACATGAGTTTCAACAACTGTTTCTTTCTTCTTTAAAAGACAGAAGGGCCAGAGAAATAGGTCAATGGACTAAGCACATACTCTTCATGGAGGAACCCAGGTTTGATTCCTGGTATCACCGGAGCTGATCCTAAGCACAGAATCAGGAGTAGCCTCCCAACACTGCTGGGTATGCCCCCCAAACAAAACAAATCAAAACAAAAATATAAATGCAGGGGCTGGAGCAATAGCACAGTGGGTAGGGCGTTTGCCTTGCACGCGGCAGACCTGAGTTCGATTCCCAACGTCCCATATGGTCCCCTGAGCGCCGCCAGTAGTAATTCCTGAGTGCAGAGCCAGGAATAACCCCTGTGTATTGCCGGGTGTGACCCAAAAAGCAATATATATATATATATATATATATATATATGTATATATATATATACACATATATAAATGCAAAAAGAGTATTTGACTTTTGTGGGTATATTATATACATCAGTAGGTGTTTGTTCAGTTTGTTCAGTAAGATTTTAAGATTGTAGAGTTCTGTTTTACAGATGGAATAATCTAGAAAGAGAGGTTTGATTTAAGTTCCAAGATCCTGTATTAGTGGCAGAGAACAGATCAGAACAGGAGATCTTTTTTTTTTTCTTTAAATTTTTATTAGTGAGACACCATGAGGTACAGTTGTAGACTTATAAATTTTTGTGCTTGGGTTTCAGTTATACAATGATCAAATACCCATTCCTCCACCAGTGCCCATTTCCCACCACCATGTATCCCAGTATCCCAGCGCCCTCCTCCCCCCCCTCCGTCCCACCCTGCCTCAGTGGCAGGGCATTCCCTTTTAGAACAGGAGTTCTTATACCTGAAGACCCATACCTGTTCCTCATACTGTCCATTATCAGCAGTTAGAACCAAGGCTGTGAAACAGTGACTTTCAACTTTTCTATACCTGCAGACCAGTTTTGAAAGTCACTGGATTAGGGCTGTATATATATATATATATGTGTATGTGTGTAATATATTATCAAATATATCACTATCACTTGTCCTCCCATTGTTCATCGATTTGCTCAAGCAGACCCAGTAATGTCTCCATCGTGAGACTTTTTGTTACTGTGTTTGGCATATCGAATACGTCATGGGGAGCTTGCCAGGCTTTGCCATGTGGGCAAGATACTCTCGGTAGCTTGCTGGGCTCTCCGAGAGGGGTGGAGGAAGCGAACTCAGGTTGGCTATTTTGGCTGCATGCAAGGCAAACGCCCTACTCGCTGTGCTATCGCTCCAGCCCCAAAATATATAAGTATAATTAAGTTTATTAGAAAATATATTAAAATATATAAATAAGTATGTATATTAGGGTTTATATACATATAAATCCTAATTTCTTTTTTGCTGTGTTAACTATGACTATAATTTTCTTTGACATAAACTTAAACTACAGAGAGTAATTATAGTAACTAGCACTTTGGAACTCTCGCTGTGTACCTAGCTTTATGGTAAGCATGCTTGTTCTCTTAATTGCTTAATCAGTGAAAGCAGTTAACTTGACCATTTGATTCAAGTTTTGGGTTCAGTTTTATCCACTTTTATGTTTCTATGCTTCTAAGAAAGTTTCTATTATTTTTGGAAGAAGTGTGTGTGTGTGTGTGTGTGTGTGTGTGTGTGTGTGTGTGTGGTGTGCTTACGTATTTATCTTAGAAACTTGGGGAGTTTGCGGAAGATTTATAGAATTTTTACCTCTGGGGATAATAGACTCCTTTTTAAAATATAATTTAAACTTGGGTGATCAGCAGTTTTGCTTCTTTAATCTAATATCAGACTTTTTCTTTTTTTGATTTAAAAAAAAACTTTCAGTTTGGGAAGTGGAGATTTTTCACTGTTTACTCATTTCTAATATGTCTTTAGTTTTATTTTTCTGGACACTTATTAGACTGTTTAGTTTATTTACTTTGTTGGCTCTCTTTATTTATTTATTTTTATTTTAAAAAATTTTTATTAGTGAGACACCATGAGGTACAGTTGTAGACTTACAAATTTTGTGCTTGGGTTTCAATTATACAATGATCAAATACCCATCCCTCCACCAGTACCCATTTCCCACCACCACGGATCCCAGTATCCCTCCCACCCCCCATTGCCCCCCAGCCCACCCTTCTTCTGTGGCAGGGCATTCCCCTTTGTTCTCTCTCTCCCTTTGGGTGTTGTGGTTTGCAAAAGTGTTGGCTCTCTATAGAGGTTTCTTTTTTCTCTCTTATTTCTTCTTGTGTTTTGGGCCTTCCTAGTGGCTTACTTCTGGCTCTTTGTTCAGGGGTCAGTCCTGATAGTGTTTAGGGAACCAAATGGGGTATCAGAGAGTGAACCCAGGTCAGTTGTGTGCAAGGGAAGCACCTTATCTGCTGCATTCTTTCTCTGTCTCTTTGGCCCTAAAGGTTTCTTTCTTTTGAACTTCTAATTAATTAATTAGGGATTTTTTTTTTTTTGGAAGTCACACCTGCCAGTGTTCAGGGATTCTTCCTGGCTCTGCAGTCAGGAATTACTTTTGGCTGTGCTCAGAGGACCATATGAGATGACAGGGATTGAACCCAGGCCGTCCATGTTCAAGGCAAATGCCCAACCCACTGTATTATTGCTCTCTCTGGCCCTAAAGGTTTCTTTTTAAGGTGAACTAAAGTAGACCTAATTGAAGCACTTACTAGCATTATATCTAGTTTATATCATGAGTTCCATAAAATATCTAAAATATAACTAATGTGTAATGCATCAAATTGAAAGTATTAAATATAGCGTGTAATTCTTTTCTCAGAATTTAAGGTGTACAAAATTTTAAAATAATGGACTTTAAAACAATTCCTATCCTTTATTAATGACACTAATGTATATTTATTTTGAGATTCAAAAGAACTTTAGAGCGTATTAAGGTTTTTTCTTATTTAAGTGTCTTATTTGAATCATAGCACCTTTGATTATCATGGGGAAAATTTATATACTTAAGTAGAGAATGACTTACATTGTTTTTCTCCCATTTTATTTTAATGTTTGTTTTGGATATTGATATATTTTTCTTGTTTTTCTTTAAATTAGTGAACTTTATGCCATAAGCACATACTTATATGGGTATCTAAAATATATATATAAATATGTACACACACTCATATATATACATATACATATTTGTGATTCTGAGAAAGGAGCTTGACTGATAGTTCTTCCTTTGCAGAAGTAATTAGGAAATATCTTTCTGGAAGCGACCAAGGGAAAAGATCTGCAACGATTATTACCAAAAACAATTAACGTACACCTTCTCTTTAAGCAATTAGAGAAAATGAAATATTTTATTATCTCCATAAAACATTTTTTAGATATGATCATTAAGAGACTCTCAGAGGTAATTATTTTCAATTAACAATAACATGATTGCTAATATTTTTATGTTTTACACTGTCATTCTTTGTTTCTAGGCCACAGACAATTAAAAGACCTTTAAATCCTTTGGCTTCTGGTCAAGGTAAGTTATTTATTTGCACTGTTACATCATTTGTCAGTCTGTAAACTTTGGTTAGAAGGGCAAATAAGGGTTGGCAAAAGCATTTGAGATCAAATACTCCTGTTTTCTTAGGAGTGATGCCTCACACTTGCAAATGCATTGTGCTTAAAATATTTACAGTTAAGAAGTTTCTTTGTGTGTTTTTTTTTTGGGGTCACACCCAGTAGAGCCCAGGGGTCAATCCTGGCTCTGTATTCAGGGATCATTATTGGTGGGACTCTGGGAACCCTATGGAATGTCAGGAATAAAACACGGGTGGGCTGTGTTCAAGGCAAATGCCCTGCTTGCTGTACTATCTCCCTGACTCACTAAAGAGTAGTTTTATAATAAAGTTCATGACATTAGACTATCCTATGATAAATATTTGATTATATATTTTTATTCTCTGCATTTTTACTTAAGATTGTGTTTTTTTTCATCATTTTACTTATTTTCTGGTTTATTGGTTCCCAAAGTGGACAATACTGTCCCCTGGGGGAAGCTGAAATAGTGGTGGGAGCAGCTGTAGCCCCTGGTATAGTTGGGGGTGGGGGAACTTTTCGTTTACTTAAGGGAAGTAGAATTCCAGGGCTGCCTGAATAATTTCTAATGTAAAGGGAAGTTTGGGAAATTTTGTGCTAGATAATGAATATCAAAATTGTTCCAAATCTGGGGCTGGAGCGATAGCACAGCGGGTCAGGTGTTTGCCTTGCACGTGGTCGACCCTGGTTTGATTCCCAGCATCCTATATGGTCCCCTGAGCACTGCCAGGAGTAATTCCGAGTGCAGAGCCAGGAGTAACCCCTGTGCATTGCTGGGTGTGACCCAAATAGCAAAAAAAAAAAAAAAAAAATTGTTCCAAATCTTTTCCCACACTTGCAACTACTGCACACTTGGAACTCTGATGTCAGACTTTTTTTTTCCCCGTTAACATTTTTTATTTTCTATTTAAAGTCAAGGTCTGGCCCTCTTTTTTTTCCTGCTATTTTCCCCATGGTTTTCCTGATTTGTAGTAATCTCTCTTTCCTCATAAAGTGATCTAATGTCATAAGGTTTCCCTTCTCTTTTATCTCCTTGCACTGTTTAGAGCATGATTTTACCATTATTTATATATTTTGGACAGAGATTTTTGTCATCTCTCTTTTTAATCAAATATTTATTATTTTAAAATAAGAGCAATAGCACAGGGGGTATGGCGTTTGCCTTGCAAGCGGCCAACATGGCCAACCCGAGTTCGATTCCTCTGCCCCTCTCGGAGAGCCCGGCAAGCTACTGAGAGTATCTCGCCCACACGACAAAGCCTGGCAAGCTACCCGTGATATTCTGTATGCTGAACACGGTAACAAGTTTCGCAATGGAGACGTTACTGGGCCTGCTCGAGCAAATTGATGAACAACGCGAGTACAGTGACAGTGACAGTGTTCACCATGGTATTACCACTATAGGTTCTTAGTGTCACAGTCACTTCACCTCACCACTGCCAGAGTGGCCAAGAGCCCCCACCCATGGCCCTGTGTCACATCTTGTATATATTGGTCATCTCTTAACATAACCTGTAATAAATTAACTGGTTTGTTATATAAGTGATCAGCGAACATTTATACTCTTTAATTAATGATCTTAAGAACAAATTATTCAGAGACTTCCTTGAACTCATTCCTTGAACAAATAATTATTCAGGTGTAAACTTAAAACCCACAAATCCTGCCCAGACCCTAATAGGCAGGTATTTTGTTTGTTTGTTTGTTTCTTTGTTCATTTGGTTTTGGGATCACACCCAGAGCTGCTCAGGGGCTACTTCTTGTAGCTCAGTGCTTAGTGACCACTCCCAGAAGTGTTCATGAGGTGCTGGGGATTGAACCTGGCTTCCTGCATGCCAAGTATACACTCTAGTCTGGTGAGATATCTCTCTGGCCCCTGCAATTTTTGTTTGTTTGTTCTGGGCTCATACTTGGAGTAAGCTCACACCTGCTCAGTAATCTCTCCCAGTGTGTTTGGGATCATGCAGTGCTAGGGAGAAGACTGGAGCTCCCACATGCAAAATATGTGCTCCTGGCCTTTGAGACATCTTGCCAGCCACCCATGGTTTGTTAAAGAAATCATTTCAATTTCAGTGTATGATAACAGACACTTTACTTTTTGTTTGTTTGATTTTGGACCACACCAGGTGATGCTCAGAGGTTAATCCTGGCTCTGCACTCAGGAATTATTCCTGGCGAGGGGGACCATATGGGATACTGGGGATGGAATCTGGGTTGACCATGTACAAGCCAAGTGCCCTACCTGCTGTACTATTTCTCCTGCCTTGCAGATACTTTCCTTAGGAAATACATATCATGTATCCATGTTCTCTGAATTTGTGCTTATTGGTAAAATCTTTGATGTGTTTTTAGGAAATGTGTAAGATTTTTCTTTTTTAAAATTTATTTGAAGAGGGGCTGGAGCTATAGCACAGCAGGTAGGGTGTTTGCCTTGCACGCAGCCAATGCCTGTGCATTGCCGGGTGTGACCCAAAAAGAAAAAAAAATTATTTGAATAACTGCTGTTCTCATTTAGTCAATAAACATAAATTTTACCCTAGAAAGCAACATGATTGTATCATTCTTTAAATGTTGGCAGATGAGTCATAAGTAGTTTAAAATCCAAGTGTCATAGGCTGGATCGGTAGTACATCGGGCCAGGTGCTGGCCTTGATGCAGCCAACCCTGGTTTAATCTTGGCATTGTGGATGGTCCCCTGAGCACTATTAGGAGTGATTCCTGAGCACGGAGCTAGGAGTAAACCCTGAGCAGTGCCATATATGGCCCCAAAAACAAAGGGAGAAAGGGAGCAGTAACAACTTCTTTTGGGTGGAGAGATAACTCAAGAGGCTGACTCAGAACTTGCTTTGTGTCTAGGAGACTCAGGTTCTATCCTTGAACACTGCATGTTCCCTTAGTACAGGGTCCTGGGAGTACTCCCCTTAGTTCTTCCCCACCAAGCACAGAGTTAGGAATAGCTCCTGAGCACTGCTAGGTGTGCACCCCTTCCAATTGGAAATGTCAAATTTAAACCAGGCTTTGAGGATTATACAATCAGAAGCTACAAGCTATTGATACTGAGAAATTCCTAGACAAGAGGTGACCTTAAATATAAACTCACATTATGATCTTATAAACTAATGAACTAATCTGCACTTATGTTAATAATAAATGGAAGCCACTTAAATATCATTAGGATCTGGTTGAATGTTTTATGGCATATTCACATGGAATAAATTGTTATAAATGTGGGTAAAATTCACATACTGTGTTAAGGTATCAGCAGCACATGTTATGTGTTTTTTCCAAAAGCATCATTTCTAGGTTTACTCTTCAAGACCATGTTCTCTCTTGAACACATATATCTCTTGCTTGTCTTTCTGTTTCTTTGCATTTTTGCCTATTTCTTCTCTGAAGAAGCCTGTGTTCTCTCTCAAACACATATCTCTTCTCTCTTTCTCTCCCCTTATGTCTTTCTAAATAAGTTTCAATAAAAACTATCTTGCTTCGCCAACAAAACAAAACAAAAGCATACAGGAACTGGAGTGATAGTACAGCAGGTAGGGTGTTTGCTACCCATGTTTGGTTAGCAGTCAAATCCAGGTTCGATTCCCAGCATCCCATATGGTTCCCTGAGCACTGCTAGGGAACTAAGGGGCCTTGATGCAGATTTTTCTTTTTAAAATTTATTTGAAGAGGGGCTGGAGCTATAGCACAGCAGGTAGGGCGTTTGCCTTGCACGCAGCAAATGCCTGTGCATTGCCGGGTGTGACCCAAAAAGAAAAAAAAATTATTTGAATAACTGAGTGCAGAGCCAGGAGTCAGCCCTGAGCATTGCTGGGTGTGACCCAAAAAACAAAAAATAAAAAATAAAATAAGCAAACAAAACATAATATCTAAGGGTAAGAGAGCTAGCTCAAAAGGCTGGAGTGCTTGCTCTGCATACAGAAGCCTTGGGGTGGATCCCTGACACGGGTGCTCCTCTGAGCATTATAGGGAGTGTCCCTGCGTACTATTCCAGGAGTAGCACCTTACTCCCACCCAACACTGCCTGGTCTGGCCCCCAAACTTAATATTTTATTATCTATAGTCTAAGGAACATTTGCTATATGTATGTGGCATTTATCTTTACATAGAGGGAGTTGTAGATAATACTTTTGTTTTTTACCTTTATTGGTTGGGGCCATAGTGTATGGTGTTCAGGCTATTCCCAGCTTTGTGTTTGGGGGTCCATGTAGTGCCAAGGCCTCCCATACTTCCAGGTACTCAGCTTGTTGAGCTGTCATTCCAGCACCCAGATGATATTTTAAATTTTATCTGTGATCTCATTTTTGAAAAGCATACATTTGCAATCTATAGCATGTTACTTTAATCTGGGGGTGGGAAACGCTGGGTTCGTGGCCCCTGAAGGCCCATAAAATCCTATGCTGTGGCCCTGATGCATGGTGGGATAGACATGTAAGCTTCTTTGTTTTGTTTCGCTTTTTTTTTTTTTTGGCTTTTTGGGACACACCCGGCGATACACAGGGGTTACTCCTGGCTTATGCACTCAGGAATTACTCCTGGTGGTGCTCAGTGGACCATATGGGGTGCTGGGAATCGAACCTGGGTCAGCTGCGTGCAAGGCAGACTTCCTACCCATTGTGCTGTTACTCCAGCCCCCAAACGCGTAAGCTTCTTGTCAGCTGCCTTCAGCCCATCTACCTGGATTGTGTGGCCCAGGAATGATGTTACAGATACTCAGATAGACCTTGGCAGATAAAAGGTTCCCTGCTTAATCAAACAATGGCAACCCGAAATAGAAGGGGGCAAAATCAAGGTAGGAAACGAGCAGCTTCATACAAACTGCCATATTATGCATAATCTGACCTTAACAAAATAGTCTTTAAAGTATTCCTTGTGGCAAAGTTTGTAGCATCAGTCTGAAATTTTCAAAACAATGGCACGAATCTTGAACAGGAATTGTTTTTTAGCTTTAGGATCAATAAATGTGGGGAAAAGTTCTCTTAGCCAAACAACACAAAGTCCTAATGTATATTTGAGTGTTACTGCAGGTGATAGATGAAGTGTTGCTCTCCCGTCAGCCCACATTTCATCGGGTGTGAGATGACAGTGCTCTCAGCTAGACTCAGGCATATTTCCTGCTGCACTCCAGCACATTTCATGAGTGTAAATTGCTCCCTTTCAGATTTTGCTTGTGTGTATAAACCAGTGTACTATCAGAGTAATCATTATTAAAAAACCTTTTTTTCTTTTATAGATGTACAATATTTTAAAGACGCTTATAACAATAAACATTTTTTTTTTGTTGTTTTTCAGGGAAAAGCAAAGGTAAGTTTCCTTTCTTATCATTGATGAATTTGCTCTGCATGCACTTGTTTATTATGGAAGGTATTTTTTTTGTTGTTGTTTTGTTTTGTTTTTCATACCCTATCTAAGGCCCAGGAGCAACTACTTTTTATTTCTTTCTTTAATATTTGGAGGTGAACGTCTAGGTTAGGAGATAAGGATTGTGCTATCTATGGCAGCAGAAAGTGTCTGCCTCCTCCTCTGAGAATTCACCTTTCACTGCTGCAAGGGGGGAGCAAAGCTCCCCCAACCTGCTCAGAACAGGCTTGTACAAATACTGGGCATAGTCAGAGTGTGTATCTTTTACTTTATTTTGTATTTTGTATTTTGACTTTGGGTCACACTCAGTGGTGTTTGGGTGTGGGGGAGACTGGGGCAGGGATCATATGTAGATGTAGCACCAGAGAGTTGAACTGGGGTTTACTGCATGTAAAGCAACTGCCTTTTTTTTTTTTTGACTTTTTTTGGTTACAACCGGAAATGGTCATGCTCAGAGGTTATTCCTGGCTCTGCACTCAGTAATTACACACCTGGCAGTGCTTGGAGGACCATATGGGATGCTGGGGATCGAACCTCAGTTGGCTGTGTGCAAGGCAAACATACTACCCTCTGTACTATTGCTCTGGCCCCAGTTTTTGTTTTTGTTTTGTTTCTTTTTTGGGTCACAGCTGGTGATGCTCAGGGGTTAAGTCCTGGCTCTGCGCTCGGGGGATCATATGGGATGCCAGAGATCGAACCCAGGTGGGCCTCATGCAAGGCAAATGCCCTACCTGCTGTACTATCGTTCCAGTCCCAGTTTTTGTTATTCTTAAACCAGGTTTTTAACAATATGAAAAGTCTGCACAGAACTGGGGTCTCCCGAATTATATAGTGGTTAGGGTCCTGTCTATCATGTGCCTTACCCAGATCTAATTCAGAGCATCACATGGTCTCTTCCCCTCCTCCCCGCCTGCCCACAAACATACCCCAGTGCATTTCCCAGTGCATTTCTAGTGGACCCCTGGAGACTCTTGAGCAGCACCAAGTGACCTGGGGATCCCTGGCACAGCAGGGCCCAGCAGCATCCATCCTTGGACCTTTGCATTGAACTACTCACCTGGATCGCCAAGAATTGCCAAAGGAGCCCCTAGGCTTCTTGTGCATCACTTTGGAGGACCCCTTCGAACGCCCATCCCTCTCCCCCTACAACTGCATAGTGCTTAGTCTAGATAAAATTTCTGAAGTGTGAATATCTACTTTCTCACTCATAGTTCTGTCTTTTTATTTTGGTTTTGTGACCACACCCATATTTGGTGCTTAGGGCTTACTTCTGGTTCTGTGCTCAGGGATCATACCTGGCAGAGCTTGGGGGAACCATATGGGGTGTCTGGAATAGAACCTGGGTTTGTCTTCCTGTGAGGCATCCATCCTACTCACTATCTCTTGTTCCAGCCCCCAATTCTGTCTTTTGTATATTATTTTGTGACTTTAAAAATCACTCTAAACAATGGAATGCTCAAGTTTGAAAACATTGCTATTTTATTACACTTTATAGTTACAGTACTAACAGCAATGAAATAAAACACTGAGTCAGTATTATTTGGGGGAACTTTAGGAGTAGCTGCCTCATATTTTAATATTGGTGGTGATCATGGCTTAAATTTTGATTTAGTTTCTTCAGCCGTGAGTATTCCTCATCCTATGCTATGTTCTACTTATATCAGAGGATACTGTTTCAGGATTCTTTGTTTCATTTTTGGACCACACTTGCCTATGCTCAGGGGTTACTCCTGGCTCTGCACTCAGGAGTTACTCTTGGCAGTGCTCAGGGGACTATATTGGATGCCGGGGATCAAACACAGGTTGACTGCATGCAAGGCAAGTGGCCTACCCTCTGCACTACCACTCTGGCCCCTGTTTCAGTTTTTCAATACTGCTCAAATATCTTATCCTTCTCTGATTATCAGAGAATAGATTGTTAAGCTTGTGGTGACTCTGTTTATAGAAATACTTTTATTTATGAGCATATTTGTTAAATATTCACTTGGTCAAACATAAAAGGGTTGTCCTCAACAGGCTTCACTACAGCAGCATCTGTGGCTATCTTTATTTTTTCCAAGAAAAAATAATTTTTTAGGAGAATATTCTGAAAGTTTTCATCACTGAACTTAATAAACCGAGTTTAAAAATTCAAAAAAAAAAAATAAAAGGGTTGTCCTCGATAGTTGTCACTGTACTTGAGAGCTGACTGGATCATGGGCAGGCCAAATTGAGAATAGATGATAAAACTGAGCTGCAAATTTTATGGAAAGTCTAGGTTCAATCCACAGGACATCCCTGTTCTCCCCAGTTCATGGTCTAATGGTAATTACTATTAACTGATAATGGTATTGGCTAATACTACATTCAAGTACTTGTCTGGGCAGGCAGTTTGTAAACGTGATTTTATTTCTAATAATCCTAAGATGTATTCTTCTTGTCATTATTTTATAGACTATGAAAATGAGCATGAAAGGTCTGTATGACTTGTTGGTAGCAGTGTTAGGACTGAAACCAGACAGTTTGACAATGTAGCATGTCGTTATTACCTCATACTGCTCCTTTGTTTACATTTTGATACTTGTTATTATTATGTGTTTAGGTAGGATTTTATGATACCAAAATTATATTTTTATTTTATTTTGGTGTTACTTTCCTGCCCTCTGTCTTTATAAGTTCAAGCTGCTCTAATAAAATGCCATCGTTTGGGTAGCTGAAACAAAGAACATTATTTTCTCACAATTCTAGACCCTGGGAAGTTAAAGATGTCAGCCAATTTGTTTTTTGGCAAGACTTTTTTTTTTTTTTTGTCTTAGAGAAAGCTAGTTTTCTTGCTCTTTTCTCACAGAGAGGAGAAAACAGCTCTGGACTTAGATCTTCCACTTAAAACACAAATCCTATCCCGAGGCCCCTTCACTCCGGTCTCATTTAACCTACTTTCCTTCCCAAAGGCCCCACTTCAGAGCCATCACAATCACAATTGGAGGTTTGGGCTTAAACTTTGGAATTTTAAGGGAGACAAAAACATTAATCTTTATAAAACAGGCTAGAAATGGACTTACTGGTTCTTAATTTTATGTTTTTGGTATGTAATAAACTGGATTGCTTTTTTGTCATTGGAAGGTTGTACTAATTTATGCTCCTTCCAATCAAAGCTCCCATTCATTTTACCTGACCCAAATACCTGTCAGTATTAAATATTCTATTTTAAATTTTACTGTTAAAGTCATAACTGTTGTCTTATAATTTGCATTTTTTTACAGACTGGACAAATTTTATTTGTTATCATATGTGCTTTTTTGTGAATATTCTTTTTGCATTTTTATAAGACACTATAGTAATTATCACTCAGCTTACAAGCTTCTTGTGTATTTAGAATAACATATCATTGTTATTTTTGTGACTACATACATTTTAACCAGTTTATTTTTTGGATTTTCTTTTGATTATAAAGTCTGTTTATATGAATTTAAGGTTTCTATGTAGTTTATTACTTATTTTATTTTGATTATATATTTTTCATCATTGCAACTAATAATTTTAGTCAAAATAATTATGTGTTTGTATCTATAGTAAATGCACACACAAGCATAGTTATGATTCTATTCCTTTCACATATTTTCATGTTTTGCCTTCTTGTCATTTTAATGTTTTGTATAATTTTACCGTCATAGCTATTTGTATAATTTTTAGGGGTTTGTTTTTGGGCCACACCTGTTGATGGTCAAGGTTTATTCTTGGCTCTGTGCTCAGGGATCACTCCTGGAGGGCTTGGGGAACCATATGGGGTGCAAGGGATTGAACCCAGGTCAGTTTTTTAAAATTTTTATTTATTTATTTATTTATTTATTTGTGAGACATCATGAGGTACAGTTGCAGACTTACAAATTTTTGTGCTTGGGTTTCAATTATACAATGATCAAATGCCCAGCCCTCCACCAGTGCCCATTTCCCACCACCACGGATCCCAGTACCCCTCCCACCCCCCATTCCTCCCCATCCCACCCTGCCTCTGTGGCAGGGCCTTCCCTTTTGTTCTCTCTCTCTTATTGGGTGGGGTGTTGTGGTTTGCAAAAGAGGCAATGGAACCCAGGTCAATTATATTCAAGGTAAATGCATTACTCATTGTACCATCACTCCGGCCCCTGATTATATAATATTGTATCATACTAACTTAGGAAACACTGGACATTTTGATCATTTCAGTTTTTTTTTTTCCCATTTCTAGTGCTCAGGAGCTACTCCTCCTGGCTTTGTACTCAGGGGACCAGGAGATATTGGGGATCAACCCAGGCAGTTCACATGCAGACATGTGCTTAGATTTTTGACCTATCCATCTTCTGATAATTTCATGTTTAAAGAATATGTATCAAAATCATCTTTGTACAAATACCCCAGCCCCATTTTCAGTTATTTCTTTAGAACAGAATTGCAGGGTTCATATATAGTCAGTGATATTAGTAGCTCAAAAAAAATCCAAGTCGTGGACTTTATAATATTTACTTGAATTCTTCTTACAATACAGGATGCATAGAACACAAATATATAAACAAATATATAAACAATACATAGAACACAAATATGTAAACAATAAACAAATAAAAAACAGCGATAAACAAATCTATAAAAATATATAAACTAATACTGTTTTGGAGTGATAGCACAGCGGTAGGGTGTTTGCCTTGCAAACGGCCAACATAGCTGACCCGAGTTCGAGTTCGATTCCTCCGCCCCTCTTGGAGAGCCTGGCAAGCTACCGAGAGTATCTCGCTTGCACGGCAAAGCCTGGCAAGCTACCCGTGACGTATTCAGTATGCCAAACACAGTAACAACGAGTCTCATGATGTAGACATTACTGGGCCCGCTTGAGCAAATCGATGAACAACGGGAGGACCAGGACCATGACCATGAACAATACTGTTTTATAAATTGTGTTACCTTTTTTAATTAAAAAACCTTGCAGTGAGGCTTGAATTTTCATTACATGAATAGTTATTAAGGATAAGTATTCTTCCATGTTGTCATTTACTATTTGAATTATGCTTATTGACCTCATATCACTTAACTTAATCACTTCCCGTTAGTCGTCGATTTGCTTGAGCAGGCGCCAGTAACATCTCCATTTGTCCCTGTCGCATGCTAGTGTAGCCCAATGGCATCTGTTCACTCTGGGAACATGAAGAGCCTCAAACTGATCGTTCATGATCTTGATGAAGAAGTCTAACCATCTGGTAGGTGGGTGGCCACGCGGTCTTTTGACACCCCGTGGAATCCAGTCGGTAACAGCTCTAGTCCAGCGGTCGTCTTTAAATCTCATTACGTGACCAGCCCATCTGATTTTTGACAACTTGGCAAATGAGACAGCGTCCCTGATTCTTGATCATTGATGGATGTCGGAAGTCCGGATTCTTTCTCTCATTTAAATGAAACGCGATATTCCAAGCATAGCTCTTTCAATTCTTCTTTGGGAGACCTGAATAGCGCTCATCCTGTTTTTGTAGGGCCCAGGTCTCTGAGGCATATGTTAATGCAGGAAGAACAGTGGAATCAAAGAGATGTGCCCGGAACCGGAGGTTCTTGGTCCTCTTAGCTATTTCTTCAATGTTCTTGAAGGCGTTCCAAGCCGCTCTCTTCCTCCTGCGCAGCTTGGGTGCCAGGTCATTTGTCATGTTGACTTCTCGACCTAGGTACACATAGCTGTTGTATTCGGAGATGTTCGTACTGTTGAGAGCGAATGGGGCATCAGGAACGAGGCTGTTTCTCATAAACATTGTCTTCGTAAGATTCAGCTGTAGTCCTACCTTTCCACACTCACGGTCAAAGTCGGCCAGCATTTGTGCCTCTTGGCTGATGTTTGGTGTTATTAAAACAGTGTCATCAGCAAAGCGGAGGTGGTGTAGTTGCCGACCATCTATCTTCACTCCCATTCCCTCCCATTCCAGTTGTCGCATGATGTTCTCGAGGGTGGCACTGAAGAGTTTCAGTGAAATGGTATCACCCTGCCGCACCCCTCTCTTGACGTCAACGGTCACTTCTTTGTAGAATGGTGAGATCCTGGTAGTGAATCTGCAGTACAGCTCACGGAGGATCTTGATGTATTGGGCTTGAATGCCCTGATTGGCTAGGGCTTCAATGACCGCTTCCGTCTCAACAGAATCAAAGGCCTTCTTTAAATCTATGAATGTTAAACAGAGCGGCATCTTGAACTCCCGAGAAACCTCAATGAGCTTGGTTATCGTGTGGATATGGTAGATGGTGCTGAATCCTTTGCGGAACTCGGCTTGCTCGCATGATTGTCCTTCATCTAGTGTTCTGCCAATCCTATTTAGGATGACTTGAGTGAACAACTTGTAGATGACAGACAATAGGCAGATCGGGCAATAGTTGCCAATGTCCTGGATGTCTCCCTTCTTGAACAGTAGTACGGTCCTGCTGGTTTTCCATTGGGACGGAACCTTGCATACAGACAGGTAGTGTGTGAAGAACCGAGCCAGTGTATTGATGAGTACTGACGGCAGGTTCTTCAGGTGTTCAGGTCTGACTGTCTGGGCCGGATGCTGTTCGTTTCTTTACTGACGAAATGGCGTGTCGGATTTCGGAAGGGAGAACGTTGGGAACGACATATCCATCCTGTGGAATTTGGTATGTCGGCAAGTGGACATGGCTATCGAAGAGATTTGAGTAGAAGTCATGGATAATCTTCTCCATTGCCATTCTGGAGGATGTGATGGATCCATCAGGACGTCGGAGGGCAGTCATCTTGGTCTTGTAGTTGGCGGAGGACAGGCAGGCGTTACGAATACTTTCCCCGGCTTCTGCCACATCTACCAGTACTTCTTCTCTTCTCTCTTTGAGGTCTTCCTTGATCGCATCTCTGCATTGCTTTGCAAGCTCGGACGTTAGCTTGCGGTTGCCTGAGGCATGCTCCAAGCCACGCTGGCAGATAAGCTCAAGAGTTTTCGAAGACAGGCGTTTTTTTGTGGCTATCTCTCTCTTGGCGTTCCTCGCACATTTATGGAGGTGCTGAACCAGTTGATTGTATTCCTCGTCAATGTTGTCAACAATGGCATCTTCCCATGTTGCCGCAATAGTGCCAAAGAGCTCCCAGTTGGTGGTCATTCTGGGAGTTCTCTTTTTAAACTTTGCAGCCCTTTCTCCCCGCTCTGTGAAGTAGAATTTTGCACGAAGGAGACGGTGGTCTGATCCCGTTCGGAATTTTGGGACAACAGCGACATTGGTCAGGCAAAACTGTCGATTGAATATGATGTAGTCTATTTCGTTGTGAAATCCTCCACCGGGAGACTCCCATGTCCAACGTTTAGATTCTGCCTTCTCGAACTGTGAGTTATCATGGATGGTCTTGGTCGACATGATGAACTCAGACAGTCTCTCACTCTGTTTGTTCCAATCAAGGCCATGGGTCCGGATGTGAAGTTCTTCAGCTGATCTTCTCGGTCTTATCTTGGCATTAAAATCACCCACAATGATCTTGTAGAAGGTGTGGTCTTCTTTATAGAACTTCTCCAGCTCCATGTAGAACTTCTCGATTTCTCTTTCATCATAATGAGATGTTGGTGCGTAGACAACGAAGATAGAAACTGCAGGCAGTGAGCCACATCTATTCAAATGTAAACGTCCAATTGGGGTTGTTATGCATTCGAATGAATCAATGCTCATGGCCAAGTTTGTGTTGACAAGGACACGACGCCTCCGACACCTCTTTTATTGCATGTTCCGAGGAACAATTCTTCTCCAGTGTCGAAAACGGCATGGTGAGATTTGTGCCTTCTTGTCTCGGTCAGACCAATGATGTCGTACTTGATCATTCGCGCTTGTACCATCAGGTCCTTGATGGATGCATCTGATGCTAGTGTACGTGCATTAAAAGTACAGACGATCATTTTTGTCTTCCTTCATTGTGGCAGCCTAGTTTGGCCTTGAGATTTTATCAGCCTCTCCTTTCTCATCCTTCTCAGTGCTGCCATGTTGGTGAAGCCTTCAGGGTTAGGTGAATGAGACCAGTTGTAGTTACTGGTTTTGGCATATTGACCTCATATAAAACCCTTTATTCTGAAAGTTACGAGGTGAGTGCTCCCCATGGCAAGATTAAATCTCTCTAGGCTAAGTGGAAGAGTGCGATTTAAAAAGATAACAAAGTTATTACTTTATTGAGATCAAGTTTAATTTAATTTCATAGAGAAAACTTCTCTCCTTCCTTTGGAATAATTGAAAATAATTTTTTTGACTCAGTCTTTAGGTGATCTTTAAATTACTTTCTGAGAGGCCTGAGAGTAACATAGGGATTAATTGCCTGTGAGCAGGGTAGCCCCCTATACTGCTGGTTCATGGTCACAAGCCAGCCCAAACAAGCAGACAGATTACTGCTCAGTACAAATTTTCTGTAATATTATAAAACTTTTGAAAAACTTAAATTTTGGTATTTTTATAATCTTGTGACTTATTTTTCTTTGACTTTCAGAGAACACTTTTTACAGTTGGCTTGAAGGTAATTGGAAACTTAATTGATACTTTTTAAATTTTTAAAGACATGAAATTTTATTTCTTTGTTTTACATGTGAGGATTCTGTTTCCATATTATTTCTATTTAGGCCTCTGTGTAGAAAAACGAGCATTCTACAGACTTATATCTGGGCTACATGCAAGTATAAATGTGCATTTGAGTGCACGATATCTGCTTCAAGGTATGTGGCATTCAGTTTTATTCAATTTTACTATATTCTCCTCCTCCCCAATGATATTCTTGAAATAGTCTCTGTATGTACCTAAATGAAAAAAGATTGACTTGTTTGAATATTCGATCATAAAGATACGTTATTAAGTGATATTAGGAATGTAGTAACTGTTGATGATATAAGGCATGGTTCAATGTGTTCTGAGCTTGATTCTCCTTTAAGAAGCTATTCATCATTTAACATAGTACTCTGGAAATGTTCTTTTTTTAAAAATTTTTATTAGTGATACACCATAAGGTACAGTTGTAGACTTAAAAATTTTTGTGCTTGGGTTTCAATTATACAATGATCAAACACCCATCCCTCCACCAGTGCCCATTTCCCACCACCACAGATCCCAGTATCCCTCCCACCCCCCATTCCCTCCCATCCCACCCTGCCTCTGTGGCAGGGCATTCCCTTTTGTTCTCTCTCTCTTCTTTTGGGTTCTGTGGTTTGCAAAAGAGGAAATGAGTGGCAATCATGTTTGGTCTATAGTCTACTTTCAGCATGCTTCTCCCATCCTGGGAGGATCCTCCCAACACCCTTTATTTGGTTCTCCCTTCTCTATCTGAGCTCTTTTTTTCCCCTGGCACGTGTGGTTGGCCTTCAAGCCATGGAGTAAAATTCCTGGCACTAATCTCGGCCATTCTTGGGTGTTAGTCTCCTTTTTTGTTACTTTATGTTCCCCAGATGAATGCAATCTTTCTATGTCTATCCCTCTCTTTCTGAGTCATTTCACTTAACATGATACTTTCCATGTAGTACTACTTCTATGTAAATTTCATGACTTCGTCTTTTCTAACAGCTACGTAGTACTCCATTGTGTAAATGTACCAAAGTTTCTTTGACCAGTCATCTGTTCTTGGGCACTCAGGTTTTTTCCAGATCCTGACTATTGTAAAGAGTGCTGCAATGAACGAACAAGTGCAGATGTCGCTTCGACTATACTTTTTTGCCTCTCTGGAATATATTCCCAGGAGTGGTATTGCTGGGTCAAATGGGAGCTCAATTTCTAATTTATTGAGAATCGTCCATACTGTTTGGAAATGTTCTTTTTAAGAATTAAAGCAGCTTCTGGGGCTGGAGTGATAGCACAGTGGGTAGGGTGTTTGCCTTTCACGCAGCTGACCCAGGTTTGATTCCCAGCATCCCATATGGTCCCCCATGCACGGCCAGGAGTAATTCCTGAGTGCATGAACCAGGAGTAACCCCTGTGCATCGCTGGGTGTGACCCAAAAAAGCAAAAAAAAAAAAAAAGAATTAAAGCAGTTCCTAAGAGCACAGTTGTCATTCAATTAGAGATACTACTATATAAGAAAATTTTTATTGGTGTGCCAGCGTCCAGCCTGGGGTTTAATGGGTCAAGCATTGATTGCTGCTCTTTATGCTCCAGGAATGTTGACAAATGTGACTATCGTTGGTTTTCATCTTTACCTTATTTCTTACCTCTTAGAAACAAAAATTACAGTAACTTCAGTTTTGTGGGAAATGTACACTGGTGGAGGGATATGGATGTTAAAACATTGTATGACTGAAACCCAACAATGAACAGCTTTGTAACTGTGTATCTCATGTTGATTAAAATTAAAAAGTACTTCAATTTAGTAATTTCAGAGAGACTTTTTTGGGGGGGTTGGTCTCTCAAGCAATGCTTGGGGTGCTGGGAATCTCTCCAACTCTTGATATTTGTTTGAACTTGATACTTGGTAGAGGGGGCACTGATGATGGTTCAGTGTTTGAGCCCTGAGATGCTGGGGATCAAACTCAGCTCCTCATCTATGCACGCCATGCAGTCCATCCCTTTGAACTATTTGCCAGTCTCTCAGATAGTCATTTTATTTTGTTCTATTTTATTTTGTGTTTGCTTTTTTTGGTCACACCTGGCGATGCACAGAGGTTACTCCTGGCTCATGCACTCAGGAACTACTTCTGGCGGTACTCAGGGGACCATATGGAATGCTGGGAATCAAACCCGGGTTGGCCACGTGCAAGGCAAATGCCCTACCCTTTATGCTATTGATTCAGCCCCTCAGATAGTCATTTTAAAAAATGCTGTATCTGTGATGCTGGAGAGATAGTACAGTGGGCAGGGCACTTGCCTTGTACATGGTTGATCCAGGTTCAATTCGTGGCACTTCATATGTTCCCTGAGCCCTGCCATGAGTGATCCCTTAGTAAACTCTGATGCAGAAGTAAACTCTGAGCACCACCAGATATGGTCCCCCAGACCAAAAATACAATGAAGATAAACTTATATATTTTCATTTTATGCATATATTAATATTGAGTTGGTCAATCTTTAAATTAAACTTGATCTCAATAAAGTATTAACTTTGTTATATTTTTAAGAATGGGTTCTTCGGGGCTAGAGAGATAGTACAGTAGGTAGAGCATTTATCCTGCATGCTACTGACTTGGGTTTAATTCCCAGCACCCCATATGGTCCTGCTAGGAGTGATTCCTGAGTAGAGCCAAGAGTAAGCCCCAAGCATATCCAACTGTAGTTCCCAAACAAACAATTAACCAAAAAAAGAATGTGCTTGCTTTCTTTCTTTCTTTCTTTCTTTCTTTCTTTCTTTCTTTCTTTCTTTATGCTTTTTGGGTCACACCCGGCGATGCTCAGGGTTTACTCCTGGCTCATGCACTCAGGAATTACTCCTGGCGGTGCTTGGGGGACCATATGGGATGCTGGTAATTGAACCCAGGTCGGCCACGTGCAAGGCAAACGCACTACCCGCTGTGCTATCGCTCCAGCCCCCAAAAAGAGTGTGTTTTAGAAATAAAAAATTGATATAGAATTATTTTGGCCTGAGAGAGACCATAGCAGGCTAAGTATGTGCTTTTCATGTAGGATGCCCAAATTCTATCCCCAGCATTCATGGTCTTCTGAGCACATCCAGAAGTGAGCTCTGATCTTAGAGCTGGAAGTAGCCCGAAGACTATCAAGAGTGGTCCCAAAGCTAAAAATAAATATATAAAAGGCTAAATTAAGAGAGTTTCATGGTAATTTATATATTTTAAAACATAAAGGACATTAATCACTCTAAAAATATAATTTCATAAAGGAAAGCTGAAACTTAATTTCAAAATTAAAATTTTAATATTAAATCCTTCTTTCTTATCAGATACCTGGTTGGAACAAAAATGGGGACACAACATTACAGAATTTCAGCAGAGGTTTGATGGAATTTTGACTGAAGGAGAAGGTCCAAGAAGACTTAAGAACTTATATTTTCTCTACTTAATAGAATTACGAGCTTTATCTAAAGTGTTACCATTCTTTGAGCGCCCGGATTTTCAACTCTTCACTGGAAATAAAGTTCAGGATACTGAAAACAAAATATTACTTCTGGAACTACTTCATGAAATCAAGTAATTTAAACAGACCTATAATCTGTAGAAGAGTGATGAGAAGTGGTGTCTATATGTATATTTTTTCAAGTTAAAAAAATTTATTTGGATAATAAAGGGAGGGAAAGAGAGAAATTCATGCTCAAGAAAGCAAGATATCTACAATTTTTAACACTGGAGAAAGATTCCAAGGGACCAGTGCATTCTTTGCATCCTAGAGGCCTAGTTTTTGTTTTGTTTTGTCTTTGGGTCACACCCAGTGATGCTCAGAGGTCTGGTTCTGCACTCAGTACTTATTCCTGGCGTGTTCTGGATTGAACCCAGGTCACCCAGGTGCAAGGCAAGCACCCTACCTACTACACTCTCTCTCTAGCCTCAGGCCCAGGTGTGAGAACTGCCACCAGATAGTCTCCACCAAGAGAGACCCTGAGCCTGATGACCCTGAGCATGACGGTTCAAGAACCCAAGCTCCCCAGCCTCCAAATTCAAATTTTTTAAGTGTTCGTTTAGAGAGTTGCCTTGTATGCAGCTGAACCTGGTTTTATACTGGGGACAGTTGCTAGAACCCCAATACAGTAAGGAGTAATAGAGCACAACTGGGTGTGGCCAGTCTTCCCTGCAAATATTTGTCTAGAGAAAGGGAAATTATTCAAAAATATTAAGGGCTAATTTTGCTCTTTTAGGAGCAATAGCACAGGGGTAGGGCGTTTACCTTGCACGCAGCCCACGCTGCCGACCTGAGTTCGATTCCTCTGCCCCTCTCAGAGAGCCCGGCAAGCTACCGAGAGTATCTCGCCCGCACGGCAGAGCCTGGCAAGCTACCCGTGACATATTCGATATGCCAAAACACAGTAACAACAAGTCTCATGATGGAGACATTACTGGGCCCGCTCGAGCAAATCGATGAACAACGGTTGGACAGTGCTGCAGTGCTAGAATTAAATTTTGGTTTAGTTTTGACTAGAACAGTAAAAGGCACTTATATTTCATTTTAAAGGTCTTTTTTTAAAAAAATTTTTGGGCCACACCTGGCTCTACACTCAGGAATCATACCAGATCATTCTCAGGAGGTCTCATGGGATGCGGGGATTAAATCCAGGTTGGCTGGGTGCAAAGCAAACACCTTATCTGCTATATTATCACTCTGGCCCCAATGAAGGTCATTCTTTCAGTATTTTTATACTGCATTGTTTTTATTATTAAACATATTGGATTTGGGAACAAACTTCTACTTTTAGCTGTAAGGTTTGAGGATAAGAGCTTGTCTGGGAACATCAGAGTGTTGATTTTACTGATTTTCTCCTATCTTATTATTGATCACTGTCCAACAAAATGTTCTTTCAATATTTTTAAAACAAGACTTTAAGATATACAAATTTTTATATATATTTATATATAAACTTATAGATATATAAATATTTATATATAAATATATATATTTAAGATATATAAAAGTGTTTTTTAAGAATTTTTTTTCTTCTTAAATGCAGGTCATTTCCTTTGCATTTTGATGAAAATTCTTTTTTTGCTGGAGACAAAAAAGAAGCAAATAAACTAAAGGTAAGTATTTTATTCACTAACTTAGACTTTAGATCTTTTCCTCAAAACAAAATAAAACAGATATGATGTTTCGAAGGCAGGTCCAACTTAGTCTTTGTACATGGCTCAGAATAGCAACTTTTTGAAATTATGTGCATGGGAAACCAATAATAATGAGGCTGTATATCACAGAATCTCAAAACAAAACAAAAAACCCAACTGAAATCTGTGTGTCACCCTATGGATGGTTTTCATATTGAGGGTCTCATATAATAAATAAAGGTGATAAATAAAAGGAAAGGACTCTGGAGCACTCTGGAGACTCTTTATCAGTCGGTCTTTCTCTGAGGACAATTCAGAAAATGGTTTTGGTTAAAGTATGTTTTTTAGGGGAGAGGTGCCAGGTTTTGTTGTTCATCTATTCACTGGGAATAAAAAGCATTTAGGAATCCAGAGTGCAGTCATGGTGAGAGCAGGAAACTGGATACCCCGTGGAACAGGATTTGGTCTTTGTCTTGTCTCTTAGTAGAGGTGGTATTGTGGGCAAGGCCTGCCTTGTGGAGCTTTGTCTCAGTATACTTCAAATGTCAAATTTCAACAGGGTTTCTTAAGCCATAATGTACAGAGCATGATCATGAGGAAGAGACCTCTTCTATTTTGAAGGTATTTCTGGTATATCTGAGGACTCAAGTGAAATGACACAAGTTTTCTGTTATTAATGTCCAGATAGATAAAGACAGATTGCTCTCAGCAGCACTGGCCTTGATCTGATTTTATTTGAATATTTATAAGAATCTTTTTTCTGTTTCTTAGTTGCTTCTTCCTAATCAGGAAATAACCTGATTTTATGTATCTTGCAAAATGGAATACTCTTTTTTTTTTACAAAGCAATTTTATTAATTTGTCATTGTTTTGCCAGTCTATAAAATTTTGTGAGTACAGTTTCACTCCTCCATATGGAGCCTGCTGCAGCCACCTTCAAGTTCCAATGAGACCACACTCTCAAAATCACCTCCCTTTGCCCATTCCTCCCACTTCTTTCTCTTTTGGTAATCACCATGGGTCCCCAGAGTCTGAGAGTTATTTTCAAATAAAATAATTTTTGCACTCAGTTTTTTTCTGTTAGATAATAGTTATTTTTGACCTGCTATGTACCTCCTACTCAAAGCATTCTTGCTAGAAATATATAACCTCAGTGCTTATATAACCTCCCAAACAGTTTTCAGGAGTGTGAAGTGAGGGGGAGGATGCTATAATAAGACTTTGCCCCCTACTATTTTCAATATTCTTATTTTTAATACACTTGCTGGTTTATTGAAAAGTTCTATGGCATCCATCCTTTCTGTATTGTGCAGGTTAGCAGATTAGAATTATTTTTCAGAATGTTTTACTTTACATTACATCAAATTTTAAATTAAATCAAAACCCTGAAATACTGTGTGTGTGTGTGTGTGTGTGTGTGTGTGTGTGTGTGTGCGCAAACCCTGACCCCTGAAAAACTCAGCTTTAGTGTCCTCTGATGTTTAACAGATAATTTTTCTGAATCCTATTATAAGGAAAAAGTAAAACATCTGGTTAATATCATATATACTTTAAAAATAATTTATGGTGTACATTTTGGAATTTCTCCATGGCATATTTGATATGCCAAAAACAGTAACAACAAGTCTCACAATGGAGATATTACTGGTGCCCGCTCGAGCAAATGGATGAACAATGGGAGGACGGTGCTACAGTGCTACATCATGGATGTCATATTTATTTTTATTTCTTTTATTTGAGGCATTGTGTCTTACAATACTGGTCATGATAGGGTTTTGTGCATCAATGTTCCAATACCACACTCACTCTAGAGAGACTCCCTGTCTCTAAGATCCCACCACTGTAAGCTCAGTTTTGTAGACAAGCTCCCAAATTCAGTTGCCTTTGGCCATTTTTTATTCCCTTGCTATGTTTCTTTATATTCCACATATGAGAGCTCATTCTGTTTCTGTTTCTCTCTTGTGTCACATTTATATATTGATTTAAAAGTCTCCTCTTGGTTCCTGGTTAGACATAGAGAACTTGCATGAAAAAGAACTGATTAACATTCAGTTCAAAGTATAATAGGATCTCACTTGAAGGCTTACATTTGAGAATAAGTGAGAATTGCTTTCAGCCAGTTGGTTTCACTGACTATATATCACATCACTGACCACAGCACATTTGATTATTCTAGCCACACCCTGTCATTATTTATTTGTTTTTTGGGCCATATTCTGTTGTGCTCAGGGTTTAGCTGGCTCTGCGCTCAGGGATCACTCCTGGTGGGGTGGGGGCCATCTGGGGTGCTGGGAGTCGAATGGGGTTTGCATTGTGCCATGTCAGTAAAAGGTAAAAGGTAAAGGCCCTCCCGTTGATCGTCGATTTGCTCGAGCGGGCCCAGTAACGTCTCCATTGGAGACTTTGTTGTTACTGTGTCTGGCATATCGAATACTCTCGGTAGCTTGCCGGGCTCTCCGAGAGGGGCGGAGGAATCGAACTCGGGTCGGCCATGTTGGCCGCTTGTAAGGCGAACGCCCTACCCGCATCTTATCCAATATACTCTCTTGTTTTTATTATTATATTATTTTAGGCACTGTGGCTTACATACTGTAAATGGTAGGTTTCTTGCATAAATCATACCAGTACCACATCCTCCACCAAAATGTCTTCTTCCCTCCACCATTGCCCCAGTGTTATCTGTTCTCTTCCCCTGACTCCCCTCCTTGGTAAGCTTCCTACTGAAGACCAGTTCTCAGTTTCTGTTGCCTTTGGGCATTTGTTGTTCACCTACTATGTTTCTTTGAGAGAGAGATTATTCTGTGTCTGTCCCTCTCCGTGTGACTAATTTCACTCAGCATGATGGACTCCAGATACATCCATGTAACGGCAAATTGCATGATTTCATCTTTTCTTACATCTAAGTATTATTGCTGTGTGTGTGTGTATATATATATATATATATATATATATATATATATATATATATAAAATGGTTTCTTTATCCAGTCATCTAATTTTGGACACTTGGGTTATTTCCAGATTTTTGCTATTCTGAGTAGTGATGTAAAGAACATAGAAGTACAAATGTCTTTTCTGAATAGAGTTGTTGGGCACTGGATGTAGAAGCCAAGAAGTGAAATTGCTGGGACTTATGGAAGCTCAATAGTATTTTAAGAAGTGTCTGTGCTGTTTTTCAAAATTCCCATTAGGAGTGAATGAGGGTCCTTTTTCTACCACATCCTTGGCCAGCACCGGTTGTTTTAGTTCTTTGTGATGTGTGCTTCCTATCATTTTAAATGTTGACCTAAAAATCATAGATACAAATAAGGATACTTCTAAGTGATTTAGTATAAGTGATGTATGGATTGTGAAATTTTCTTATCTAACATAACTTTGAAATATATTTAGATTATTGGACATTGTTATTTTTGGAAATTGTATTGGTTTTCTCTTGTTCTGATTTTGAATTGGGCATGAACTCCACCTTACTTTTTTTTCATAATTTTATTTATTTATTTTTTCTTCTTATATGTATCTATTGAATAACTGTGGGAAAAGTTACAAAGCTTTCAGGTTTAAGTCTCAGTCATACAATGATCAAATACCTTTCCCTTCACCAGTACTCATTTTTCACCACCAAGAACCCCAATATACCCCCCTCCCACCCTTCCCAATGCCTCTGAGGAAGATGATTTCTACTTAACTCTTCTCTACATTGATTATATTCATTATTTCGACAAAAGATGCACCATTATTGTTCAGAATTTCCCTCCCCAACTATCAGAATTGCTGAAAAGTCATTGTGAAATACTTTGTTTTCTATAGTTGGTTATGAGAATCATACAATGATTTTAGATTTCTGCAAAGAACCAGATAATTACGAGATTGGTTTCTGTGTGTCTGGTGTTATGGCTATGCCGGGGAGCTGCTTGTGGGGGGCAACTCGTGACCTTGGTAGGGTGTGAAGGACGAGCCAGTACTGTCCCCCTTCCCATGAGACTGCAGTTGCCCTATCACTGCCGCTGGCTCATATCTGACTTTCCAATATGCTCTGAGGCAGCGGCCGGGGGGGGGGGGGGGCTGGGTGGGGGAAAGGGTGAGAGAGGGGAGGTGGAAGGGAGCAACACCCTTTCCCTCCCAGGGAGGCATGACTCCGTAGTTTAACGCATGGTCCATTCACTTTTCTGCCACAAGCTGCCAGGCTCTGGACTGAGTCCTTTTGCCTCTAGAGCCATGGCCATGCTGGAGAGCCGCTCGTGGGGGGCAACTTGTGACCTCGGTAGGGCATGGAGGACGAGCCAGTACTCCCCCCTTCCCATGAGCCTGCAATTGCCCCGTCACTGCCAGCTCATAACTGGCTTTCCAATAAGCTCTGAGGCGGTGGCCACCCTGCTGTCCGGGGGGGGGGGGGGTGTTAGGGGGGGAGTGGGGGGAGGTGGAAGGCAGCAACACTGTTTCCCTCCCGTTGAGGCATGGTGACATAGCTTAATGCATGGTCCATTCACTTTTCTGCTGCAAGCTGCCAGGCTCTGGACTAAGTCCTTTTGCCTCTGGAGCCATGACTGTTCCGGAGAGCCACTTGTGGGGGGCAACTCATGACCTCGGTAGGGCATGAAGGACGAATGCATTTAGTAATATTTTAAAGTTGTTTCTTAGAACTTTTTTAAGTTGTTTTGTTTTAAAATTTTTTTGTGTGTTTTAATCATAACTTTTATATTGTGACTTCTGCAATCTATTCTGCTTCTTAGAGAGAGAGAGAGAGAGAGAGAGAGAGAGAGAGAGAGAGAGATTGAGATTATATGGTTTCCATATTATAGGTCAGTTGAGATTCCCCTGAATCTAAGAGGGGATCACTTAGAAGATTAATGAATATTTCCATTGGTGTAAAAGAAGGATGTATTTTTAGTATTTCATTCTCTTTCCTTTATTCCTGAAAGGCATGCACTACTTTTGGGTAGGCTTAATGCTTTTGCCCTATTATAAAATATAAAATATCCTAGTATTCATGTATATACATATATATAAACACTTTTTTGAATGAAAAGGAAATAATAAATAGCAATTTTAGAATAGTTCTAGAAGGTAGAATACAAAATTTTAGAGGAATATATGGAAAGCTTCCTTTGTACTTGTAATTTTTTTCTTCAACTTGAAGGGTACATGGATGCTAACAATATTCTGTAAGTATCTGTATGTTAACAATACCATTATTATAAAAGAAAATTTGATTATTTTACTCAGTATCAGGTGAAAACTGGACTTTATTTATTTATTTTGGTTTTGGGGCCACACCATGCTGTGCTCAGGGCTTACTTTGGGTCTGTGCTTAGAGGACTATAGAATATATGTAGTGTCAGGGATTGAACCTGGGTTAGCTGCATGCAAGGCAAGAGGCCTACCTACTGTACTATCCCATTGGCCCCTCAACTTAATTACTTTAAAATTTTTTGCAAATAAACCACAACACCCAAAAGGAGAGAGAGAGAGAACAAAAGAGAATGCCCTGCACAGAAGGTTTGAAGTCAAGCAGTCTTCGGCTATACATTTGCTATTTACTAACAATAAAGAATTTGGGGAGGGTGGGAGCAACAGTACAGCAGGTAGGACACCCTTGCATGTGGCAACCCAAGTTCAATCCCTAGCACCCCATATGGTCTCTGGAGCGTGCCAGGAGTAAGCCTTGAGCACACTGGGGTGGCCCCCAAACAAAAACAATTACAAAAATAGAATGTAGAGAAGTTATTTAGTCTTTCTGGACCTTGATTTTGTTGTTCTGTTTTTATTTATTTATTTATTTATTTATTTATTTATTTGGATCACACCCTAGATAATACTCAGGGCTTACTTTTGGCTGTGTGCTAAGGGATCATTCCTGACTCTCTGCTCATGGATCCTCAGACAGATGCAATTTCAGGGATTGAACTGGGATTGAATGTATGTAAGATAAGCACCTTAACCCCTGTATTATTATCTCACCCCTGGATCATGTTTCTTAAATTCATTAGAGGTCTATTATACCATCTTTTGGATTTGTGGTGAAGAGGAAATGAAATTTTGTATTAGATTCCAGTGTTTAGGAGGTGCTCAGTGAATGCTGATTTTAATTCTACTCCTCCTTGTTGACACCCTATATTACATTGCACAGCATTGGCATACAGAAGGCACTTTGAAAATATTAATATTTGGCTATTGTATCTTAATAAAATTTTTGTTAAATTGTGTCTAGGAGGACTTTCGACTGCATTTTAGAAATATTTCAAGAATCATGGATTGCGTTGGTTGTTTTAAATGTCGACTGTGGGGAAAGCTTCAGGTAAATATATCTAGTTAAGTCCTATTTTTAAATTTATTTTTCACAAAGAGTTTTCTAATTTTTTTCTTATTTTTATTATAGACTCAGGGTTTGGGCACTGCTCTGAAGATCTTGTTTTCTGAGAAACTAATAGCAAATATGCCAGAAAGTGGACCCAGTTATGAATTTCAACTCACCAGACAAGAAATAGTATCATTATTTAATGCATTTGGAAGGTTAGTTTGAATGTTCTAAAACTTTTTCTGTTTCCAAATAAGTCTGATGCAACAGGCATGCTCTCAGATCAAACAGTGTAAGGAATAACCTTTTTAGTGAAATAATCTCAGTGTAGAAGTCTATGATCTTGTAAAATGTAAGTATTTAGCTGTCTAATTTGATGATATTCTTTTTTTTTTTTTTTGGCTTTTTGGGTCACACCTGGCGATGCACAGAGGTCATTCCTGGCTCTGCACTCAGAGGACCATATGGGCATATGGGATGCTGGGAATCAAACCAGGGTCAGCTGCCTGCAGGGAAAATGTCCTACCCCTGTGCTATCGCTCCAGCCCCTTGATGATATTCTTCATTTTCATCTATTGACTTTTATAATAATTGACTGAATTTCAATAACCATACTACTAAATTTGTACTTTTTTCAAATTTATAATTTTCTGTGCTTCCCAAATATTATTTTGAAGGTCCTTGAAAAATTATGTTTATATTTTTATGCACTCTTTGTTATATGTATGTAAAAGTTAATAATTCTTTCAAAAATGATTAATTTTCATGAAAGTAATCATAGGATAAACTTTAGATTAGCTTACATTATAAAATTTAAATAGAGATATATTTCTTTATATGCATTTCTGAGGCCAGAGAAATAGTATAGTGGGGAGGGCACTTGCCTTGCACATGGGCAACCTGATTAAATCTCTCACTTTCTATATTTTCCTCAGAATCCTGATAGGAATAAGCCTTTGTTTTCCTCAGAACCCTGATAGGAATAAGCTCTGAACACTGCTAGGTATGGCCCAACAGCCAAAAAAAAAAAAAATTCTTTCTGATCCTGTGAGGTGTAAAGAATGCAGAACTATATAAAAATCAATATAGTCTAGAGACTGCACTCATTTACTCATTTACTTTTAAAATTTATGATTTAATAGTTTATATTAGAATTAATTGAAATTTAAAATCATTTTTCTATAAAAAAATAAAAATAATAAAATCATTTTTTCTGGTACTTGGAAATTTACCAGTTTTATTTCACTGAGTACTCAGCTTCATTTTTTTTTTTTTTATTGTGGAGAGAAGAGCTAAAGAACACTGAATTAACAAGTATTTTATTTAAAAATTAGTGAAATGACTTTGGTCATATATTATTTTTACTCTTTATTGTCCAAGAGCTTTTATTCTTTTTATATGCATTTAAATATGATGTATTTATTAATTTATTTTGGGGTTTTGGGGCCACACACAAGTGTTCCAGGCTACTCCTAGCTTTGAAGCCCTCAGCTCAGCCAGATATGGCCCTAAAACAAAACAAAACAAAACAAAAAAAGTTTTAGGTTGCTGGGGAGAAGGTTCAAAGGGCTGAGCACGCACATTGCATGCTGGAAGTCTTTGGTTGATACCTGGCACCACGTGGTCCACCAACCACTACCACCTGGTAGGACCCCCGAGTACCATACTGGGAGTAGCTTCTAGTTACTGGGTACACCCCCAAACACAGTAGCATTCTGAGCAATATTATGTCAGTTTCACCACGTCAAATTAAGAACTAAAATACATAAGAACCAAAATAGATTAAATTGGGGATGTGCCTTTACATTTGTTGAAATAAATCACACAGTTTTCTGTGTTCTAAAATTACAAGGTAAATTGAGGAAAAATTTTGTTTGATTACAGAATTTCTACAAGTGTGAGAGAATTGGAAAACTTCAGGAACTTGTTGCAAAATATCCATTAAAGGACATCAGTTGAAATGTACGTATGTGCCTGTTTGTGGACACTGGAGGCCAAAGAGTGGAATTGCATTCAGAGGCATCACAGAAATGACAGTCTTAAGCCAAACATTTTATATAAAGCTGCTTTTGTAAAGGAGAATTATATTGTTTTAAGTAAGCCATTTTTAATTGTGTTGTCATATATAATATTATTGTGAGTAAAAGTGATACTTTGATAATGAGCTATAAATTTTAAAGTTTAATATGGAATAAAATCAGGATTATCTAATTTCTATATGGGAAAACTAAGCAAATGATGTTTTACATCTCTCAAACTAGATTTTTGTGTTAGCTGTCATACAAGTAAAATCATGGCCAATATGACAACCATTTAATGGAAAAATGCTAGGAAATAGCTTAATATTTTTCAAAGTTTTTTAGGTTACCAGATTTAGCAAATAAAAATACAAAATGCCCAGTGACACTTGAATTTTAGATAAATAACAAAAGTTTTCTTAAATTTAAGTATGTTACCAGTAACATTTGGGATAAACTTATACTAAAACGATTTCTTATTTAAAATTCAAAGTTAGCTGGGAGCCTTTGTTTTAACTGGCAAAACTAAAATACATTGGTATGAAATAAATAAACTTTTAGAATTATATTGCTATTTTCATTGGGTTGTTTTGTTGTGTAGAAAGACACAAAGGCAACTCAAAGGCATATGAGATTTCTTAATGTTATAAAAAAGATGAATAGATTTATATACTTATTCTCATAAATAAGTCCCTAATCTGAATAAAATTTGGGGGAAATGTTTTATTTTTATATAATTTAAAATTTACAGAAAAGTTTTCAGGATAGCACAAAGAACACACTTTACCCAGATCTACTAATTGTTCATATAGTGTTATCTTTCATGCTTTCTAGTTTTCCTTTGTCATTTGAAAGTCAATTATAGGCATTATACCTTTGAACCCTAAATTTTTACGTGTGTATACTAAGTGGTTTTAAATGAATTTTTTTTTCAGAAGAGATCTGGAACTATAATACTATGAACCTAGAATAAGGAATCATTTTGAGTTACAATTTTAAGTTGTTTTTGTTTTGTTTTGTTTTGTTACCCCTTTCATACGTGATTTATAGTTAAGGGCATGTATATTTTAGTTTTTGTATATAAAGTTCTTTTTATTTTCCTTTCTAAAACTAAACTGTAATCTTGGACGGTTCTCATTAATAGAATAATGAAAATAATCCTCATTGGTTAAAATGTTTTTAAAGTGTTTCAGCATTTCTATCACATGGTAATTGTAGGTGACAAAGAAACAAAGAAACTGTTTACCTCAAAATTGTGTGCTCTTTTTATGTCTAAGCAGGTATACCATATGAAATGCCTCGTTATTGATAAAGCAGAGTTCATACAATGGATTAGAGATATCATTTTACATTGCTGTATACTTTTCCTTTTCTGTGTTCCTAAGAACGTAGTGCCAAAAAGAGTAGTGGGTAATAAGACATATTTGTTGAAATGAATCTATGAATATGTATTCAGTATATTTGAATGAAATAGTTACAGAACCAAGATTAACAGTGTGTGTCCTATTTTCCTTTCAGTTTTTCTGAATAGGGGAGAAAAGGAAAAATAGTAACCTACTAATTAGGTAAAAATTACCAGAGACTCAAAGGATTCTTGAGTGAGCATCAGATATAAAAGCTTTATTAAGGTCATTTGTAATATTCTGAAAATATTGTAGATGGTTTTGAGTGGTAATTTTGTCTACAACGCTCTAATGCCTTACCTTTTTTAAAAAATAGCCATTTAAAAAATAATATTTCTGTCTTCCACTTGGTCACCTTCCATATGCTCCTTTACTATAATCTGCTTCCAGCATTCTTTCTTTGAAATTAAAATCCCCAATCAAAACCCACAGTTTAATACATAAGCCCATTTGTTTGTTTTATTTTAGGCCACACCTGGCGATGCTCAGGGGTTACTCCTGACCATATTCAGGAATTACTCCTGACACAGTTTGGGGGTGAGGGGTGGGGTGCCACATGGGATGCTTGGGATCGAACGTGGGTCAGCTGGGGCAATTGTACAGCGCTCTGTTCACTGTATAATTGCCCCAGCTCCCATAAGCCCATTTTGCGACTTTTTTCCCCTATTTTTTCATATGACTTTCTTTTCCCTATATTTGACAGTGTGTATGACCCCTTTAAAGAAATCTTTTCCCTCTGGGTTCTTTGTATTTCAATTCTTTGTGGATACCTTCTTTCATTGTCTTTTTTCATTTTACTCCTTAAACATTATTCCTGAGACTTTCCTCTGTGCTCTCTTTATCTGTTGGGAAGGGCTTGTCCCCCTGTGATTCTTGATCAACCAAACTGGAGTTTCAGTACTAGGACCTGAAGATGACCATCAGGGTCACATCCAGTAGGCTCAGGGGACCATCAATGCTACCCGATGATATTTGTAGGACCACGTACTGCTCATGTACTGCTAGGGATAGAACCAGGGTCAGGCGTGTACCCTAGTCCCAATACTTCCCACCCCATACTTTCCCCCCAACCTCCTTTTTCTCTTAGTGACCATCACTTCTCACTTTTGGGTAACTCTAATTCAATGATTTCTAAATCATTATCATTAATGCATACTTACCAATCCATCTGCCTATGTATATCTTCCCTTTGTTGTCCCATAGACACCTGTGAATGTCATAAAATAATCATTTTCTCCAAAGTCTACTGCTATGCCTATGATCCTTACTTTAAGAACTATGGTCATGTATAAATTCTCCAGAATTACTACACATTTCCATCTTCCTTCCTATTAATATCTTATCAATATCTTATCAATATATCTTAATATCAATAAGATTTATTGATATTATTGATCAATAGATAATCGATCAATATCTATCTAAAGATTTGTCTATATAAATCCAATTCATGTCATTGCTCTAAAAGTACCACATGAAGTTATCTTCTTATACCTAGCTTGTTTTTCTCTGCTACCATAATTGGCTTTCTAGAAATATAATAATGTTGTATCCTACTTATCCTACTTTGGACAAACTGGCAGACTACCCAATGTAACCTGCCCACATGGCAGAGTCTGGCAAACTCCCCGTGGTATACCCAGTATGCTAAATACCAGTAACAATCATGGGTCTCATTCTCCTAACTCTGAAAGAGCCTTGAATATGGAACTTTTAAAAAAAATCTCAGGGCTTGGACGAAGGAGATGTTACTGGGGCCTGCTCGAGGCAATCGACAAATAACAGGATGGTCGTGATCGTGATCCTACTTAATGTACTTCAGTACTTCATGAACCTTTAGGAGGAAGCAGAATCCCTTTGCTTGGTGTTCTAGGCCCTCTGAGGTGTATCTATTCCCACTTTCCACCTTGTTCTGATAAAATAGACATAGAGCTCTTTAGATGCACTGTGAGCAGGCCTCAACACCTTGATGCATTATATTTTTCTTTGTCCCAAGTGCCCTAACCATCTTTCCCCACTGGAATGTTTCTTGTGTCCTTGCAAGCCTGGCATAAATTATCATTTGTGTGAAATCTTCCTTGCTCCATTCAAGGAACGTTAGCTAACTTTCTTTTGTGTCACCACTGTAATTACAGCCTACCTCTATTGTGTCACTTATGTACTGTATTGGATTTTTTCTTTTTAAAGATTCCTTTATTAGAATGTGAGCTCCTTAAGGGCAGGAAAAGGAACGTTATCCATTTTTGCATATTCATAGCACATTTTCTGGGATATGAGCACTTAATAAAATTGCTTTTAAATGATAACTGCATTAATTATCATATAATATAACATTCACTCCAAATCTTCTTTACAGTAAGAGCAAGAAGATTCCAAGGATTTGTGGACTTGATGGTGGTGGTGGAGGTGTCAATAAAGTTCCTAAAATTATAATGAACATTTGGTGTGGTTTCGGTACATTATAAAAAGGGTCTTTGGTGGAAAAAAATGATGAGAATTCTTTTAGGGCAAAGAGAATAGATGCTCAGAAAATGGGTTCTTTCAGGGCAACAAGAATAGATGCTCAGAAAATGGGTTAGATTAACTTATTCCTGTTTAAGATTCTATGAAGAAGTCAAGGGATATTGTAAGTTATTTCATATGTGGATTTTCTTAGCTTAATGTTGGTATTTTAAAATGTATATTAATTGCACTTTTTAATTACATTTCTTATACTCATATGTAACATGCAGGACATAATGTCCAGATATAAGTAATTATAAACTTAGTAGAGGCAAACATTTGTAACTCTTAATGCTTTTTTTTTCCAGTGGTAGTACTAGAGTTCTTATATGACAGAAACTCAATCAGTGCAGTTCATTAAGAGAGATTAAGGAAGCCAGATATTCAAATAAAAGCACAAACACTTTTATTTTTAACAGTAGTGTTTTGTTACAATTTAGGGAAACAACAAATAAATACATTCATTGGCCACAGCTATACTTTTAAAACCGGTTTGAAACTGGTTTTTGTAGCTGAGAAACACTTTTAAACAATAAAAAAGGCAGCTATGCATATAAAAGCCACTTTAGCTATAAATTACATCTTTCATAAAACTACAACCAGCTATAATGGGTGGTAACAATTTCAAAATTAATAGCCACCCCAATGAAACAAGAAAACAAGTACTGCTAACCACTGTAGAATTACACACTTAAGCAATGAAATTCACTTTAAATTAATGAACCAAAAATGAAGATTTGACATGATCATCATGTGCTTCAGTGCAGGATGAAGAGGGAGCTGGTAGCCCTTTGATTTCATAAACAGTTACTTCTTTCAAGGACCAAACTTAAAGTGCTCCTAGTGCTTTGGAATTTTTAAGCAAAATTTGGGCCAGAAGCTTACCTTTTTTCTTTTTGTCTTTGGTGATGTTTTGTGGCAAATGTGCATAATGAGATAAATGCAAGTTTCTGGGTACTCTTGTCAGTAATGAGAATAAAATTACAAATCTCAAATTTATAATAATCATTTAATGAAGATGAAATAGCAAGTTATTTTAACTGAACTATATTTTGAAAGTACTCTTTGCTTATACCGTCACACAGAAACATTATCGAGAGAAGCCTTGCCAAAAAATACATCACTTTGAACTCTAACAATTAACAAAGACAACACATCTTTTCAGATAATGCTAGATAATTAGGCAACATTATTAGGAAAATGAATATTCTGAAAAGAAATGTAATAACTGAAGTTGTAATAAAAATATCAGTTAAATACACATTACATTTTTAATACTAAGATTAACTTCTGTACCATAAACTTTAAAATAATTTGGTTACAATAGGAGAATTTATATAAAGTAGCATAAGTTTGTACTTCTGATTGAATTCAAAGTCATTTTGTATGATAAAAAGTTTTTTTGCATGTACAGTTTCCAAAAGATCAATAACATTTAAAATTTTATTTATCACTTGGGAACTCACCTACTGTTTGTACTTTTGTGAAGTTACTGCATCAATTTTTAAACAGCTGAAAGACTTTTGGAGTAAGAGTAGAAATAAAACAACTCTAATCAAAGTAGAAGACAAAAAGTAGATGACAGAAAGGACAGTTGTATTTTTTCCTGTTTTGAAGAAACAGATGAGCAATTAACTGTACATGGTTAGTCATCTGTAAGCATTCTGTGGCGACATTCCATGTTGCCTGTTCCCTTGGCATCTTGAGGTATTCAGCATCTATTTCTTTCCACATAGACACTGGTAGAAAGTGCATTTAAAAATTCTCTATTGCCCTAGCCTGGCATAAATATTTTTTAGCTTCGGGATAGAACATTTAAGATAGTTTTAATGTAATTCTAAAAAGTATTCTAATATTAACCCCCGGTTTATACCTTTATACAAGGTCATTTAGTCTAGTACTGAAATTAATATGTATTAAATTCAATTTGGCTTTAATAATAAACAAGATATAAAATGGTAAAACCAATGGGGGAATTAGGTTTTATAAAGTATTGCACTTGAGTTCACTGCAATAATGTCTCATGATTAAATTTACCTGAGGACAATCCTGATTCAATGGGTAAGATCAGTTATAGCTGTGAAAGCTAAATCAAATACTTCTGAAAATGCATTCACATTTTAACTTAGGATTGTACATTTTAGGTATTCTTAAATGCATCTGTAAACTTGTTTAGTCCCAAGAAGTTTCTACCAAAATCTCCCTCTGCAAAAATCACTATTGCTTTCTTGAAGAATCATGCTTAAACTACTACATATATCTGCATCATACAAAATAATCATGACCAATTCTATTCCAAGTAGCCATATCATTTTCATGGGTGTACTTTTCTCTTAAAGAAATATCTGCAGCTTTCCAAAGAACACTGCTGGTAATCATTGTAAGGATCACTGCTATGATTCGTTTAAAATGATTGTTTAATTTTCATTGGTACTTTACAAACATGCTTAAAAAAACTACCTTCAACAATTACCTGTTTTAGTAGACCTTTTTAAAAGAAAGATACACTTTCAGGCTTTAATTCTGTGCACTGTTCATACTGTAAAATTTTTATTGGATAAGAATCCCACATAAAGCACACCATTAAATACACAGACTTTAATATATTTTTAGGGAGCACTATCAGGATATCTGAAGGAGGCTTCTCCCACTGATTCTTGGCCAACAGGCAGGTGATTCAATCTGAGGACCCATAGATGCAGTGTTGCTTTGGGCCTTTGGTGTTGGGGATTAACCTGGTCACCCTGGTGGTGCCCGGGGAGCCCTGACTTTTGTTTAACAGGAAAATTGCCTCCTAATTTGGTGTATACTATAAATGTCCAATGTGAGCACTGGAGTGTGACTCAGGGTACTGCAGTGTACTCTTTCAAATTAAAGATAAAAGTGCAAATACGCATTGCATGTTCCAAAATCAGAATGTTTGGAGGTCATCAAGTACCTTAAGCTCTAACCCTGCTTTTCTTCTCAACTTTTCCATTTTACTTCATTTTATTATGAAGAGTCAAAAGTCACAGCTGTGTCCTCTGCTGAATAGGTTTCCAGGCTTTGTTTTCAGTAACAACAGAGAGGAATGTTTATGTCGATGGAATTTAAACACATTGCATAAACACATCCATGAAAAACAATCAGAGAATCACAACTCAGTAATGTCAGTTTTGTGGTGTTACATATAAGCTATGGTGATTGTTCATATCTAAATTACTACAAGTAAAGAGCAAAGGAGCAGTATCTGTCATAGGTCCATTTAGGTGAGGAGAGACAGTATAACTGTTGCCGCCACATCCGGTGATGGTGCCATACCAGCCCAAACCTTGTGAATTTGTTAAACTGCAACCAAAAATGAAGAAAAATTGCTATCAGACTATGATCAGACTATAAGAGGTCACACTGACATTTTTAGTATTTAATAATTTTCAAGATACAGTTAGTATCAGATACACTGAAACACAGTCCTTGCCAAGTGACATGACTTTCTACTTTCTTTGGGCCTGTGAACAAAGAATTGAAAGCATCGGAAGACTTACTGGTAACTGAAAAATGAGGGCTGTGATGTATAATGCTTTTTAGTTTTAAACTTTGTCAGAAAATGGATTTTCATCTAATATCTTTGGCTCTATTACATGCCAAAAAAGTGAATAAATGCTACGCATTTATGAGTAGCATTCAACTTGAAAAAAATAGTAGTAAAGTACTTAATGTACTAGGTGCTGTTCTAAAACATTGCATGTTCATATAATGCTCTATGTAAATATATGTATATACACACCCATTTAATTTTCTTAGAAGACCTATGAAATCAGTTCTGTTATCATACTGCTTGTTTCACAAGTGGAAAACAGTCTCAAAAACTGGGTGTTAAATAACTTGTCTAGAGTAGGTTAGGATTACATAAGTTTGTCACTTTACCTGATACATGGCTAATGGTAAAAATTTCCAATGTTTGGAACAGAGAATATAGGATGACCAATGACATCTCAGCAACTGAGAACTGTTAACAAGGGTTTCTCTGATTTTGAATTGCATTAGAGATATGGAACACATTTAACTCCTATGATAGTTTTTCTTCCCAGCTCACCAAACCCTATTTATTTGAACCACTTCATCACCAAAGACACTTCTCAAATAAAGGAAATATATGTGCTCAGACTCAAGTTATACTGCAGGTTTATAGTATAGGCTCAATTGCAGGTTTAACATTTACTGTTTTAAGCTCCAATATTAAATATTCCTTATTGATGTATGTCACAAAGCTACACACTGCATATTTGGGTTAAACTTAGATTTGTTGTTTTCAATATATTTCACTAGTAATTCTGTACCTTCCTTCTCTTGAACTTCCCAGTCTTGGCAAGTCATCATCACTATCATATCGTCTTGGATTGTCAAAAAAGTAAGCTCTGGAACTATAACTGTGACTATTTATCATGCCAGCTGGTGCCTGTGAACAAAGAATTGGAAGCATATGAGGACTTTTAACTAAAAAATGAGGCTGGGATGTATGATGCTTTTAGTCTTAAACTTTGTCAAAAATAGAAAATCAACATAAATATTCCATTATTCTTAAAAATGAGAAGAATATAGGGCTGGCGAGATAGTACAGTGAGTAAAGTGCTTGCCCTGCATGCAGCTGACCTGGGTCCACTCCCTGACACCCCGTATTGTCCTTCAAATCCTGCCAGGAATGATCCCTTAGTACAGAGCCAGGAGTAAGCACTGAACCTGGCTGAGTATGTCTCCCCCCTGCCCAAATAGGGAGAATAGGTATTAGGAATATTAAAATACCATACCAAATTCTGATTTAATCTTTGTGCCCGAAAAAACAGTACTATCGACCAGGCTGGTACATGTTCCCACAGAAAGAGAACCATTCCAAAAACTATATACTCTTCTCCGCTTATGTCTTCTATATGAGCCTGTAAACAGAATATGGCAGAACAAGTTTTAAATTAGTTTAATGTGTAAGTTACCATCCTCCTCAGTTAACTTGCTTCAGGTGAGGTAAGTTAGAACATACAAACTATAAATACATAAAATTCTGAATTAAATTTCCATATTTTGTGGTTTATAATACAATATGTATACTTTTTAAAAGTATTTTGGTACTCAGTAGAATATAAAAATCTGTTCTTTTTCTTCTTGGGCCACACTCAGCAATGCTCAAGGGTTACTCCTGGCTCTGCACCCAGAAATTACTCTTGGCAGTGTCCGGGGGGACCATATGGGATGCTGTAGATTGAACCTAGGTCAGCCACGTGTAAGGCACTATATTTTATGTACTATCACTCTGATCCCAAAATATGTTCCTTTCAACACATCAATTTATGGAAAAATTGTGGGGGAGGCTTCCAAGAAGTGTTCAGGAAGTCTGGGGGCTGCTTCTGGCAAGTCTCAGTGAACTAGGCTTGCAGTTCAATGCCAGGGTCTGAAGATGCAGTGCTGCTTGGCCCTGTTCTGCTGGGGATTAAATGTGCCACCACAGTGCTGCTTGGGGGCCTCCAGGGCTGCATCCAGCAATGCTCGGGGGACCATGTACTGTTGGCAACTGAGCCAGGTTTGGCTGCATGCATGTACTTTAACCCTTGTACTATTACTTGACCCCATATGAAGTATTTTTATTGTATGGATAATGTTGAGTGATCTCATTTTTAGATTTCATAGGGAATTCAAAACATTTCTGGTGAAAAATTTAGTATTTCAGCTTTTCAGCTCTGCTGTTATTTAAAAATATGCCTCATGGCCTAAACATGATGTTAAATTTCTTTCCCTTTCTAAATTTTTTTTTAATGTTTTGCTTTTGGGCCACACCCAGCAGTGCTCAGGGCTAACTTCTGGCTCTGCACTCAAGGATCATTTCTGGTGGTGTACGGGAAATGATATGTGGTGCTGAGATTGAACCCCAGTCCGCTGACTGCAAGGCAAGCGCCCTACCAGATGTTGCAAGAGGGAAGTGGATAAGGAATGAAGACAAGGTGTCACATGGTGAAAAAGCTTCCTCTTTAGAAAAGTAACTAAAATTGTTATACACCAGATACCGGGAAATCTTAAATTCAAGACAAAGATCAATAAAGATATAACAAAGAGTTATGTTAAACTACACTTCCTAAAAATGAATGGAAGTGTATATTCATCTCCTTACACCAATTATGGATAAGTTGTAGGATTTTTTGTTGTTAGGTTTTTTGAGTGGTTTATAAATCTTGGATATTAATCCTTTATCTGATGTATTGTGTGCAAATATTTTCTCCCATTTAGCAGGGAGAAAATATTTTGTCTTTTTATTAGAGCTTAAGTCTTCTTCTGATGGGTATGGTATTAGAATTATGAGCATGAGAAATAACTATTAATAGGATTGTAAACCACAGAATCACAATTTTTTTTTTTGTTAAAGTTGATGAAAAATGATGGGAGGTTAAATATGCCCAGCTAGAATGTTAGTAAATAAAATAAAAAATGTATGAACAATCAAGAACTATGAATGCTCTCCTGTCATCAAAACTGATGTGGCTCAAAGGGCTGGGGCAACACTGGGAAAAATAATTCTGGGAGTGACCTTATAAGCACTGATAGGAAGACCCTATCCCCAAACAGACTGACCATGTTATATTTTCATGATAGTTGTCACAGAAAATCTAAAATGAAACCAAATAATTAGGTCATGTAATTGACTAGTCATATTCAGAGATAATAAATAGGCAATTAATTTACCTACAGATATTTGAACACCATCATTTAAGATGTTTAGTAAAATATGTTCATGTGTCATAAAAAGAAAAGCAAATATTCCTTTGTGAGTGCTCCCAAAGGATGGTTTTAGGACCACTTGTAGTAATTGCTGGTGATGTGGCTCAGGGGTAGAGAATATGATTTTCACAATTGAATCCCTGGGTTCAGTCCCTGACCTTGTCCCCCCAACCCCTGTCCACTCAAAAGTCACATACAAATGAGCACTGTTTTGTTGTTAGAAGTCCTTGAGGTGCAAAGGATCAAATCCAGGACTTCATGCATATAAAATCTGTGTTCTACTAATTGAGTCACATTCTCAGCCCTAAAGGAGGACTTTTAGACTCAAAGCTCTGAGTACAAGTAGTGGTAGCTAGAGATTCCATGCTTACAAGTCAAAAACTTAAAATAATCTCAGTTATCATCACTATCATATTAGTATATTGGCAATGTATGGCATGTACTTACCTTATCTGAAAGATTATCCCAACCATAATTAAATGGACTTTCTAATGTATTTTGAGATATGATGATAACCACCAAATTATAACATGCTCTTGAAGAATAGAGAAGAATGACTACAGAGCCTACGACGACTGTCTGGCACAGAGACATACCCTAGAAGAAAAAAAGCACCAACATCATGATACACTGAAGTTTATTTATTTATTTATTATCAACAACTTATGCATCCACACACATCTTGCAACACACTCCTAGAAAACAATAAGTGACACCTGTTGAAATTAACTGCCAATCATCTAGGATGGGGACATGGCTCAGAGGCATGGGATACATTTCTCATGTATGAAACCTGCGTTTTATCCCCAGTATGACAAAGAAAATTAATAAGCTAATGATTAGCTTGTTTAACAATTTCTCATACCAGAACCACCGGTGTTTAAACTCTCCAGTTAACATAAGTAAGGTTCCTGACAACTTGCCCAAAGGTAGCTAGCAGAAAATTTCATTATGCCTTGCTCCCCTAAGCAATATACAAATAAAAGAAAAACTGAAAAAAAGAGCTGAGTTTTGATATCAGAGAGGTAGTTTCATCAGAGTGAGAAGTGAATGGTAATTAAAAGTTTTAGTTCATTTGATACACTTAATCTCTTTTTTTAAAAAGATTTTATTAAATTACTGTGATATAGACCCTTAAAAAGCTGTTCATGATTAGGTTTAAGTTATACAGTGTTCTAACACCCATGCCCTCCACCAGGATACACTTAATTTCTAATAAGATACAAAATTAGAACAGAAAAAGTCTATGCTATTTGCTTCATTCTATTTGATTCTATTAGAGTTTATGTTGCCATATGTTGATAACCAGCAATGTAAGGTCCCAAACACACTTCCATATACTTAATGGTAAAATCAAAGTTTTCACTATTTCCCCAATATAGGAAGTCTTCAGAAATTAGGAACTCTCTTCTTTTTAAAAAACATTTATTCAGGGGCCAGAGAGACAGTACATCAGGTAGGGCATTTGTCTTGAATGTGGTTGACCCCGGTTCAATTCCTGGTATCCTTTCTGGTCTCGTGGCACTTTCAGGAATAATTTTTGAGCACAGAGCCAGGAGTAACCCCTGAATATTGCCAGGTATGGTCCCCAAACAAACAAAAATTATTGAATAACCATGACATACAAAGTTACAAAGTAGTTGATGATTGAGTTTCAGTCTTCCAATGTTCAAGTACCCATCCCTTCACTACTGTCCACTTCCCTCCACCAGCGTTGCCCAGTTTCCCTCCCAACCCCCAGCCTGCCTTCAGAAATTAATAACTGTTGACCAGGGTATACATTATAGAAGAGAGGTGGCACTTGCTGGTATTACTAACCAGAGATTTGTATTTTACCACCAGTGGTTTGATTTGTAATATCTTAATTATTAAAATATTTACTCTGAAAAATTACAGCATTACAAGGAAATTTGCTCGAGCAGGCCCAGTAACGTCTCCATTGGAGACTTTGTTGTTACTGTGTCTGGCATATCGAATACTCTCGGTAGCTTGCCGGGCTCTCCGAGAGGGGCGGAGGAATCGAACTCGGGTCGGCCATGTTGGCCGCTTGTAAGGCGAACGCCCTACCCGCTGTGCTATCGCTCCAGCCCATTTATTTTAGTAAAATTTCCAGTATGTTGTCTTGGGAGTTTGTGTTTTAGTGTCACTATGATTAAGGGGTAATGGAGGCTTATTGTATACAAAGCCTGGAATGTACAATATCTTGCAAATCATAGAAGTTCATGTAAGACAGTGCTTTTGTTCTTTGACCCTCAATAACTTTCCAATATTCCTTTGGACATTCATTATGATAAAAAGCCTCTATAATGATCTTAGCCAGCATCTGTTTTACATATAAACAAAACTAGACTTTGATAGACTAAGTAGATACAAAATATTTCCATAAACACATATACATATAATAAATCAAGGGAGATTTGTACTTTGTTTTGTTAGAAACTGAATTATAAATTGTAAAAAAAATATTTGAGAGGCTGGAGAGATAGTACAGTGGATAAGGTACTTATCTTGCATATTAACCCAACCTGGGTTTAATACCTGGTACCACATATGGTACCTCCAGGAGTGATCCCTGAACCTCCTGAGCACAGAACCAGAAGTAAGAACCTAAATAAATGGATCCAAAACAGAATTCCACTCAGGAGCCATCTTAAAGAATGCTGCTATATCTTTCCCCTTGGCCCCCATCGGTGACATATCTACGAAACCCTCTTTAGAAATCTCACATGTGGGGCCAGATTGAAAGTAGAGGGTAAGGTGCTTGCTTTGCATGCAGCTGACCCAGATTCAATCTCTGACACCCTACAGCCCTCATCCCGCCAGGATCCATCCCTAAGTGAAGAGCCAAGAGTAATTCCTGAGCACCACTGGATATGCACCCCCTCCCCCGCCAAAAAAAAAAAGATCCCACACATTACAGGTAGAGCTAATTGTCACATTTGTTAACTCACATCACATTGTTACTTATACAACATTACCACCTGAGTATGTATAACAGTAACTAGAGTTCAAAATTTGTGTACAGGTATTTTTTTAATTGAGATAACATTAGTTTATAACTGCTTCTGTAGGCATGTTTAGAATGAAAATATGCAGAAATTCAACTTATCAATTAGTTTTGACAAGTGAATACATCTATGTGATCCTACCCTTCTAAATCAGAACATTCATTTCCATCACACCAGTTATATGCATCTCTTCCAAATCCCAGGACATGAATACTCTTGTGTTTTCGTTTTGACCACAATTTAGTTCTGCTTATGCTAGAACTTCATATAAAGGGCTGGAGCGATAGCACAGCGGGTAGGGCGTTCGCCTTACACGTGGCCAACATGGCCGACCCGAGTTCGATTCCTCCGCCCCTCTCGGAGAGCCCGGCAAGCTACCGAGAGTATTCGATATGCCAGACACAGTAACAACAAAGTCTCTAATGGAGACGTTACTGGGCCCGCTCGAGCATATAAATGAAATAAGAGAATATGAATTTTCTTCATGCCTCATACTAGTTTTGAAATTCATTAACACCAAGTTATTGGATACAAAAGAACACAGATCTTTGTGTTGCTAAGATGGGTAATTAGAGTGATTAACTCATCCTGATTTGCTAAGGGTTTCTTGATTTTAGCACAAAAATCCATACTCTGGAAAACTCAATCTTAGGAACACCAGAACAATGAATCACATTAATTTCCACTATATCACAGTTCTGTTGATCCATTTTTTTCCTGCTTATAGACAATTTCTACATGCATTTGTAAACCAATCTTTTTTTCTGGACATATATTTTCACTTATTTTGGGTAACAACTTAATGTAACTACTAGGCCATGTTGTAGGTCACTAGTTGAGATGTATTAAAATCTGTCAGACCTTTTCCCAAATGGTTATATAATCTTACATTTTCTAACAAAGCATTAGAGTTCCACTTGCTCTATCTCCTAGAGAGTCTTTTAAATAGTTTCCATGTTGGTGGATATGTGGTGATATATAACCTTTCGGAAATTAATGCTTCCCCAATGATTAGTGCTATTATTCTTATTGATCATTATTTTATCTTCTGTGTAAATAGTCTATTAAAATATGTTGATCACTTCTGAATTGTGCTGTGTCTTTTTTAAATTGAGTTTTAGGAGATTTTTATATATACTGGAAAATGAGTAATTGTCACGTATATATATTATAAATATTTTCAAGTTTATTATCTACTTTATACTTTCCTAGTCTTTTATCTTTGTGGTGAAAATTTTTCATTTTTTTTCTTTTTGGGTCACCCAGTGATACTCAGGGGTAATTCCTGTCTCTACACTCAGGAATTAACTCCTGGTGGTGCTCAGGGGACCATATGGGATGCTGGGAATCGAACTCGGGTTGGCCGTGTGCTATCGCTTCAGCCCCTGAAAATTTATCGTTTTTAAGTTTACTGATTTATTAATTTATTGGTGCTGGGGATCAAGCTCAGGGCTCATATATATGTGAGATATGCACTTTAACTCTGAGCCACAACCTAAGCATGCAATTATTTTTTGATTAGTTTCCTAATATCCTAAGAAATCTTCCTGTACTCAAATTTTAAAGTTTTCTATCTGTTTCCTTTATAAGCTTCAAACTTTTTTCACTTATATTTAAATGTATGATCTATTTTGAATTATGTGTATGGTGTGGCATGAGTTAGAATTAGAGATTCATTTTATTCCACGTGGTTGTTCAATTGTTTCAACACCACTAATCAAAATGTTTTCCTTTTCCTTTCGAATTGTTTTAACAATTTTGTCAAAATCAAAAGACCATGGAAGTGTAGATTGATTTGTAGACTCTCTGTTCTGTTCCATTGATCTGTTTCTCTAGTTTATGTCAGCAACACTGGCTTAATTATTATAGCTTTATACTAAGTCTCAACATGAATGGGCTTACGGCACCCTTCTTTTTAAAGGTAACTTTCTGCATCATTCAATAAAACAGCTACTACTCATATGCAGGCATCTTCCTTTAAACTGAAAGATCAGTTTCTGTTATATTAGCCATCTTTCGTGCTCAGCAGTCTCATAGACCTAGATACCATGCTGAATAATAAATAGCTATATAGAAAAGTTAATCGTCACAGAAAGTTCTATCAGAAAGACTAGATTTTAAGTATTTTAGGTGTTTTGCTTTTTTTAAAAAAATTTTACAATCTACTTGTTAATTTATAATTTCTTAAATCTCATAAAAATTGTGATTATAATTGAGTAACATTTAATTATAATGAATTTATAGATCATTGTGAATCTACAATCATTGTAATCATATATTATGAATCATACAGATCATTGTGGGGAGATTTATCATTATAACAATACATATCTTCCAATCCATAAATAATACTCACTGACTAAAATATTTAATTTTTTAAAAAAATTTTATTAGTGAAACATCATGAGGTACAGTTGTAGACTTACAAATTTTTGGCTTGGGTTTCAATTTTACAATGATCAAACACCCATCCCTCCACCAGTGCCCATTTTCCATCACCATGGATCCCAGTATCCCTCTCTCCCACCTCCCCCCCCCCCCCCCCCCCGCCTCTGTGGCAGGGCATTCCCTTTTGTTCTCTCTCTCCTT